GGCAACCCTGTGTTCAGCCACATGATTAAAACTTCTGGCAGATTAAGTGAATAACATTGAATATATTGTTGCAATGGCACCTGTCAAGGGGTGGGATATATTAGACAGAAAGTGAACCATCAGTTCTTGGATTTCACGTACTGGAAGCAAGAAATGGGCAAGCTAAAAGATCTGAGAGACTTTGACCAAAGCCAAATAGTAATACTTAGACAACTGGGTCAGAACATCTCCAAAACAGAAAGTCTTGTGAATTGGGATGCAGTGGTTAGTACCTACCAAAAGTGGCGCAAGGAAGTACAACCTGTGAACCGGCATCAGGGTCATGGGCACTCATGGCTCATTGATTCACAGGGGAGTGAAGGCTAGCAAATTGGCTCATTTATTTTTCAACTTACCAAAAATCACTGTTGTCTTATTAAACACCATAGTGATTGTAATAGTGTATTTAGAATGTTGGTCTTCTTGGTAAATTCTTGTCATTCCCAGATCTTTCTTAGATTTTTAACATCATAGTAAAAAGGCACTTCAGTAAATTATTATACCAGCTTCTGTGTCAAAATAAACACAAGCTATTTTTAATAAATGTACCTTTCTAGAGATGTTTCTGGAATCATTTGGCAGGTAGCTGGAACTTTTCTGGCCACCTTAAAAGCAAAATAAAAGTCGTCAAATATAAAAGAACTGTAATGTTCTAACATTAGCTTCCACACAAAGGATATTATTTTAGATTATTTTTGTTGTTATTGGTGGGATACATTTTGATTTCTACTATAGAAGTATTAGGGTACAACTAATATTGCAGATCCATAATGACAACAGATATAATTTTTAATGTGCCATGTATGAACTTGGATGAGAAGATCTATGGTTGAACTTGCAGTCCAACAGGAGCTTCGGTAGCCTTCTGTCTTGAACCTGCGCACATGTGATAGAGTCCACCAGTGACATGGCTCATGGCATCCTTAATAAGCTGGGTACTGAGGTAGAAATAGTAGTGCCAAAGAGAGCGCCTACTCTACCCCTATCTCCCTATTAGTTCCCCAGCAATGAAGGCTGATCTATAGGGGTTGGTTGGGCAGTGCCTCACAGTTTTTGTTGCATTGAAAAAGATTTTTAAAAATCACATTTATTATAGTAGTAAGAACTGCATAATAAGTTTGTGTTAGAAAATTACGACTTGTGTCTTTCGTGGTTAGTTTTTAATGATTAATTATATAATTATTTGGGGGCATATTTGAAAACATGCCCCATTTTCTGCTCTAGCAGAATTTCAGACATCAACCATTGATTTTGCAGTAAGCCCATGAACAGGCCATGTATTGTTATTTTGCTTGGGACTATCATTGGGTAACAGAATCAAGGAGAAGATCTGGCCCTTTTTACAGTGGTTGTTGTGTCCTACATCTGTGTGACAATATGTTTGTTATTAAACAGGTTATGACATCTCATTGGGTCAGAGGTTGAGTACATGATGTAAAATTGGCATAACCCAATAAGTCAGGGGTGCAAAGTCTAGTGCCTCATCATCTTTAAACTTCACCATCCCCAAGTACCAAAATGCAAACAAAGACCTTTGGGGATTACTATGAAGACTCCACAACTGAGAGCCCTAATACAACCTTCTAGAGCAGGGGTAGGCAACATTTGGCACTTTAGATGTTTTGGATTACATCTCAACCTGCCAGCATTATGGTTGTAAGAGCATTATGGGAAATGTAGTCCAGAACAAATAGAGTGCAGAAGATTGTCTACCCCTTGCTCTAGAGAATGAAGGCAAAGATATGCTTTGAAAAATAATATGTAACTGATATGTCTGTCACTCACAAAGGACACACACCATCCTTACCTTCTTGCTGGCCAATTGTATGCTTTGAATTTCTCTGAATTCCACTTTGAACTTTTGAAATGTCATGAATGGGACATTTTATTAATTCTGACCCAAACAGTCTCACATCTGCTCTATTTATGCATTGATAAGGTATTCCCGGCAGTTTCTCAATAGGTTTGCAGTTCAATGGGTAGCTTTTTCTTTTTCCATGATTTTGACAATCGAGTGAATGCTCACATTTTAGCACTGACCCTTTTTTTCGCTCACATGTTACAGCGGCTGTTTGCTGGTAACTCTGCTCCTTGAGAAAGCCTTGACACAATGTTTTGCTGATATGCCTTTCATCAAAAGAAGTATTCTTCTCAGCTACTTGTTCAGATAACCCATGTTCTTCCACCGGACCCACTCTATTATTCCGTAGATACATCACTGTCTTGCATAGGACATTTCATATTCTTTAGACTTCTTTTCCTTTAGATATTGGAAGCTGAATTTAAGCAGAAATGTCCATGTTCTCTATGTTTTGTGCTTGGATCTATGTATGTGCAATTCATAAATGTTTAACGAGACCTTCTCAGATAACTCCTAGACTACAGAAGTAACGGAAGAAGAAGTGGCCGGCATACGTCACGAAGGAATGCAGATTCCATGTAGCAACTTGTATTTATTTTATTATTGTACTTTTTTATTCAGAGTTTGTTATAACATATATAAGAGATTGTTCTGTTTATCTTTTTAAAAGGAAAACTGAATGTTTGTTTTTTTGTAAAAAAAAAAAAAAATGTGTAATGTAATTTAACTGTAACAGCAATTTTTTCTTGCTTTTATTTAGAATAGTACCTATTTAAAAAATGGTAAAACAAATTATAGTAAGCAATTCTGTAAAGATAGCTGAATCATTTAGCCAATGGGTGATACTTGGTGCATAGAATGTGCACAAAATTAGCCAGCCAGCTATACTTGTTTTGGGCATTCTAAGAATGTATTAGACATGTGCAATTTGTTTCAGTCCGAATATGAATTCGGACGAATTTCAGGCAATTCAGACATACGGGTACTTCCGAATGTCCGAATAGCCGAAGTGCCGAATTGCCGAGGTCCCGAAGTTCAGAAATTACCGAATTTCTGAAATGTTGAAATGCTGAAGTTCCGAAGTGTCGAAGCACAGTATTGCCTAAGTACTAATATACTTACCCAGTGGAAGAAGAAGAATGTTACACTGTATACAAGTTTAAATAAAAAGTATACAAACATAGCCAGGATTCAGCTGTAAGCATTTGCAACACTTACAACAATCAAGTAACACACATTCATATAAAATGTAAGTTACTTGGCCAGTCAATGTAATGACAGGAATGAATAAGTAGATAACTCCCTAATTCCCACGGTATTAGGGAGCTATCTACTGAAAGGCTGAAAGACCTGAATTGGTCTTTCAGACAAATTTACTAATACTAAGTAAAGATTACTTAGTATTAGTAAATCATGTCTAGAAAACAGTGAGCCTGTGGCTGCTCACTGTAAAAAAAAAACAAAAAACACGTCACCTCTCCCAAGCCCCCACACCCGTGCCGCACGAGTGGGGGCTTCTAACCTAAATGGGGGACCTATTGCCCCCCCTGGCCCCCACCCCTGAACGGCAGGTGGGGGCCCTAAATTAGAAAAAGGGGAGGACGACCTATTGTCCTCCCCCCCTGGCCCCCACCCCTGAACGGCGGGTGGGGTCCCTAAATTAGAAAAAGGGGGGACGACCTATTGTCCTCCCCCCCGGCCCCCACCCCTGAGCGGTGGGTGGGGGCCCTAAATCAGAATAAGGGGGGGGACCTAATGTCCTCCCCCGGCCCCCACCCATGAGTGGGTGGGGGCCTTAAATACTAATTGTGGGGGGACCTAATGTCCTTCCCCCTGGCCCCCACCCCTGAGCGGTGGGTGGGGGCCCTAAATTAAAATGAGGGGGGGACCTAATGTCCTCCCCCTGGCCCCCAACCCTGAGTGGTGGGTGGGGGCCCTAAATACTAATTGGGGGGGAACCTAATGTCCTCCCCCTGAGCGGTAGGTGGGGGCCCTAAATTAGAATGAGGGGGGGACCTAATGTCCTCCCCCCTGGCCTCCACCCCTGAGCAGTGGGTGGGGACCCTAAATACTAATTAGGTGGGTGACCTAATGTCCTCCCCCTTAGCCCCCACCCCTGAGCCGGGGGTTGTGGGCCCTAAATATTAATTGGGGGGGGACCTAATGTCCTCCCCTCTGGCCCCCACCACTGAGCGCCGGGTGGGGGCCCTAAATAAAAAATTAAACCCTCCTCCCCCAGGTGACTAGCGGTCCCCAAACCCCTGGGGGGTCGGGAGGGGGGATGCTTTTTTTTTCTCCCAATTTAGGTCTTTCAGCCTTTTGGTAGATAACTCGCTAATACCGTGGGAATTAGGGAGTTATCTACTAAGTGGCTGCAAGAGAAGTTCTGAAATTCTGAAGTTCCGAATTTTGGAATGTCGAACCAAAACGAAAATTTTTCTCATGCACATGCCTAGAATGTATCAGTGACCCAGCAAGTCATCCCATTCAGACTCGAAGCCACATGTCCACTTCAGATCACTTAACTGGTCATGGTGCTTGGAGTAATCCTTTGAGCTATTCTGTAAGCTACAGGAAGGCACATTGCTGCATGAGTCGCTATTGTGGTAACGTTGCATTGTTTTCTATAAAAATATAATTTCCTAAAAATGTAAGCAATTGCCTGAAAAACATCACATCAAAATAAAACACAGAAATCTCAAAGCCATAAACCATTACGTACATGTAGTTGCAGTTTCTTGGATGTAAAATGGGCTATTTTGTTGCATAAATTCTACATCTGGACCTTCAAACTAAATGTTGCTACCATGACTACTAGGCATAACCTGGATAGACCTTCACTAAAAAGATTATTTACTAAAGTGAGCATTGTCGAGAATTCACAATTTTAGACCAAAACAGCTGAACTGGAAGTATACCTGAATTAGATGTATTTACCAGTTCAGTTATTTTGGTCTTAAATTTGAAATTCACTTTAATTTCCCAACAATTCTCACTTTGGTAAATAACACGGTAAAAATAGCAAATCATTGTTCACTTCAGTGATGCTGAAAGCAAACAATAACTAACATTATTTTTTATTTTATTTTTATTTTAAAGGATTTTTTATTGAAACGCAGTAAGAGTTACAGGTTTGTTACCATTACAGTACAATGTTTCGTGAGTCACAAAGCATCAAACACTAATATATGGAGGATATCGGGTTACACAGCATGTAAAGGATATTCAGGGTGTTGTGCTTCTTTTGCGAATCTGTTGTGTGGGGTCGTTACTCCTGGCTAAGTAACATGACTTTACAATAACTAACATTATATAACAATACAAAATCCATAAGGCCTGTGAAATTCCAGGATTAACCCTGAGGGAACTGAGTGACTCTCTCATTATGTCCTGATGCACCGTAGGCCCATTGGACACCAAAAATATCCAGGGGTTAAGTAATCGTTCTCATCTTCCTCCATTTTATGTTTTAGTGATTGGAGGCACAATTGGATAAAGACATAATGAATTACCTCTTCCAACGGTCTGGTCAGTGGATTACGGAATGCCCAGTGTTCTGGTCATAATACATACAGGACCAGTCCCCCAGGGTCTTGCAAAGTAATTTGACACTCAATAGATCCAACAGATATGCAGTTTTCTTATCCCAAGTATGAACATAATATCTTACCGAGAGATAGGCACTCCTGAGCCAATCAATCCCCACTTAAAACTTACCATAACGAGGGTCCTAATTACCCACATTAGTTCAGAGATGGAACAAGCCCTCTCAGGAATTTGGAATGAAGGCATGTACTAATTCAAAGTTATTATATATATATATATATTTAGCATGCATGAAGAGTGTATGTTACAAAAAGACAGTATTTGGCCACAAATAGAAACCCAAAACAAGAAAAAGGCATAATTTATCACTTTGTATTTCATGATGCAAATAACGGATAACATGAAAATACCTGCAGAGGGACAAAATGGAAGATATATATATATATATGTGAGGAAAATTATTAAACAAGTAGTAAAAGAAGTACAATAGCAATAGATGAGCGACAGAATAATACAAGCATCCCTAAGAGTCTCACTAATGTAATACAACAAATGACTTTTTGGGGTAAAGTTTGTTTATCAAAACATGGAAAAGTTTGCTTGTTTTACATTTTCATTGTGCAATGTCATTTTTTAACTGTCAGAGTAGTTTTCTTCATCATCTTGGGCTTGCTCTCTTTGGAATATCTCCTGCACACTTAGCTCCCTCTCCGACTCTATCTTCTTCGAATGCCGAATATACCTTGCCTTTTTAGCCTCCTCAAAAGAGTCCATCGCACTGGGCATTGTGTGAAGGGTCCGAAGCCCCCCATCTGGTGCATAGGTTTCTTCATCAAAATAAAGCTTTTCTTTGAAAAGAGAACCTCTTCTTGACCTTGCAGATGGAGGGGTTACATATATTGGTCTTGTGGAGGTCTCCTGTAAGGATTTCATGCTTGACCCTAGCGACTTGTCACTGGATTCCATAGTTACTCCACTGGCTGAATCTTGGTCTTTGTTATTAGATTCTCTGACTTCAGTCACCGTTGAGTTCCCAGAAATGCTTAGTCTTCTTGCTATTGAATTTCCTACATCTGTCACACTCATTCCAGAAACAGGAGGCTCAGCCATCTTGCCTTTTTTGCCAACTCCATCCATGAAGTCATTAATGCGCATCTGAAGAGTCATAGATGAACCGGAAGCCATCACAGGCCCATTGGATCTGGATGCAGACTGTTTTCTTGTTCTGAAAATATGTAAATAACATCCAATCTTTACATTAAAGATTTTTTTGAAGGCATTGTAGAACTTAGAACATCTGACTTATATTCTATAGAAAGCAAAATGTTCTTTTTACACAATATTTAATTATAGAGATTATATTGTCACAGGTTACCTCATTTATTTACTCCCAATATTAAAGGGACACTATAAGCACCAAAACAACTTTAGTTTAATTGAGGTTTATTGGTGTATAGATCATGCCTCTGCAGTCTCACTGCTCAATTATCCTGCATTTAGAAGTTAAATTACTCCTACTGTCATTGAAAAACCTCTCCTGCATGTGACCTACACAGTCTCCCCTACACATTTACTTTAAACAGAGATCTAAAGTTTAAATTTTCAGTTTGTTTAATTATCATTTTTATCTCCTTTTCTGTTAATAGAAGAGAGTGTTAAAATACAACCCTCCCACCTCCCTGCCCCCCACAAAAATGATAAAACCTCACAATTGCAATACCACTAAACTTAGATTATGTTCAAATTTGTATTACTCGTGTTACTAGCTGTTGCAAACGATGTGGAGTATAACCCTGGTCCCCCAACAGATTTCATTCCTAGTCTCACCGTTAAAAAAAAGGCTTCTCCTTGCACTGTAACATCCACAGCTTACTACACCTACTATTCACATTATTCATAAATGATCTGCCTAATGTTGGCAAAGCCTCACATGTACATAGACGACACCGTAATCTATGCAAGCAAACCACATCTACCACAGCTTGAGGCTGTGCCCCAAAACCACTTCACAGAGGTAGAAAGTGGACCACAAAAACAAACTCTTCCTAAACACTGACAAAACTGTCACAATGATCTTTGGAACAGTACCTAAATTACACAAATTACACAATTCCCATCTATGCATCAGAACAAAATCAAATAATACACTGACCGCAGTCCATTCTTTCAAATACTTGGGTATGTTGTTAGACCCCAATCTATCTTTTGGCCTCCACATAGAAAAGCTTGCATCTAAACTTTATCCAAAACTAGGTGCCCTGTACAGAAACAAATCCTGTCTAAGCCCTACAGTAAAGGAAAAGACTGTACAGCAAATGCTGATGCCAATCATTGATTATGGGGATGTATTATTTGCACCTGCACCACAAACACACCTTAATAAACTTACTACATTGTATAACTCGTTCTGCCGTTGTTTGTTACAATATAATTAAATGACCCACTATTGTGACATGCTAAAAGAGCTAAACTGGCTATACCTAGAATCCAGACACACCCTTCATCTTTCCAGCCTTATGTTTAACCCCTTAAGGACTGAGCCAAATGTACACGTTGTGATCAAAACAAAACGTAAACAAAAACTGGAATTTGACTATATGTCTGTTCAACCGTAATTCACCTCTTTCATATTAAGTGCACCCACACTTATATTTCATTTTATTCAGGGGAAACAGGGCTTTCATTTAACATCAAATATTTAGCTATGAAACATAATTTAATATGAATAAAATATTTTTAAAAATGGGAGAAAATAAGATTTAAACATTTTTTGTTTTAGTTCTACATGACATTTTAACTGTGAATGTCATAATACTGTTTGCTTATACTGCAATAAAATACACATATTTGTATTCAGCAATGTCTCACGTGTAAAACAGTATCCCCTATGTACAGGTTTTATGGTGTTTTGGGAAGTTACAGGGTCAAATATAGCATGTTACATTTTTCAGTTTATACATGTTGAAATTCGCCAGATTGGTTATGTTGCCTTTGAGACCAAATGGTAGCCCAGGAATGAAAATTACCCCTATGATGGCATACCATTTGCAAAAGTAGACAACCCAAGGTATTGCAAACGGGGTATGTCCAGTCTTTTCTAGTAGCCACTTAGTAACAAACACTGGCCAAATTTAGCGTTCATATTTGTTTGTGTGTGAAAAATGCAAAAACCTTATTTGAACTCTAATTTTGGCCAGTGTTTGTGACTAAGCTACTAATAAAGACTAGACATGTCCCATTTGCAATACCTTGGGTTGTCTACTTTTGCAAATAGTATGCCATCATGAGGCCTACATGGTGGGTACTGTTATACTCGGGAGACTTCGCCAAACACAAATATTAGTGTTTCAAAATAGTAAAATGTATCACAACAATTATATCATCAGTGGAAGTACCTTTGTGTGTGAAAAATGCAAAAAACTGATTTTCACTGATGATATCATCGTTGTGATATCTTTTACTGATTTTAAACGCTAATATTAGTGTTCAGCGAAGTCTCCCGAGTAAAACAGTACCCCCCATGTACAGGTTTTATGGTGTCATGGAAAGTTACAGGGTTAAATATAGGGATTGCAAGCCAAGTTCTCTGGACTTTCAGCCTGGGTTGTCAGGCAGGTCCAGCAAATTGTAATTAATAAAATGACTTGATTATGTAAAAATATATAAATATATTTGTAGAATTTAAATATATATGTATAAATAATTTTTTAAAATAATTTTTATTTATATATAGCTATATATATATATATATATATATATATATATATATATATATATATATATACACAATACCAGTAGAGAGCACTCAGGAGTCTTTCAAGGTAAATTTCATCTGTTGCTTTATTGAGCAATTACAAATTCACACAATGTTCCAGTCGACGTTTCAGTCTGTAAAATACTTTTTCTTGAAAAAAGTCTTTTACAGACTGAAACGTCGACTGGAACGTTGTGTGAATTTGTAATTGCTCAATAAAGCAACAGATGAAATTTACCTTGAAAGACTCCTGAGTGCTCTCTACTGGTATTGTATACAATTTGGTTGGAGACAGCATCGGAGCATTAAAAGACCGGGAGCATTGAGTGCTGGGACCTGGGACGTATATATATATATATATATATATATGTATAAAAAGATAGATAGATAGATAGATACATATATGTATTTATAATGTCATTCTAAATGTATTTTGAATGTAATATATATGTATATTAATATCAAAATACAGTTAGAACATATTAAAACTGGTATATAATTTTTTTCAATTTATTTTTATATTTTTTATTTTTATTTTTCCATATTTAGAATGTATTTATTGATTATTTGTATGTTATATATATAATTATATATATAATTATAAATATATATAAAATTAGTGTAAATCTACGTGTATTTTAATTTTAATATATAGTATATATATATTAATATTAAAATACACTTTTATTAATGGTTTATGTATGTGTATGTGCATATAAAAGTACTTAGATCATATATATATATGATCCAAGTACTTTTATTTACTTTATTAAACTTTTTATTAACTTTCTAAACTTTTTTACTGGCATTAATGGGACTGCCTGAGTGGTCAGACAGGCCCCCTGCAGGCACTGCATAAGCCAGGTATTCTGGCCATGTGATCGCATAGACCCCGGGAAGAGGGCGCCAGATTGGGCAGAGGGGGTCTGCCTGAGCTCCCAGGTAGACCTCAGGATCTGGCGTGGGAACGGCGGGGACCCAGTAAGTCTAAAGGAAGGCGGGGACGTTCTATGTTGCCCGCCGGCGTTTAGGACCATCCTAAAAAGGACGGCATAGAACGCCCGCTGTCCTTAAGGGGTTAAGAGCTTTTCTGGGAAGCTCCCACCCTACCTGAGCAAAATGCTCTCCTGGGATTTTCCCACCTCATATAACCTCCGATTCAGTACCAGCACTTTATTTAGTCTACCACAATACAAAAAGAAATCGATCCTCATTTTCCTACAGAGCACCACAATTATGGACCTCCCACACTCTTTCAAATCTTCACCCAGCCTAAAATCCTTTAAGAGATCACTCTCTACATATCTCAAAACAGAATGCACATGTCACGGTTGATTATATATTTCTTACCTATGTTAAATTTTGTATATATTGTGTATTAATATTGTTTTTTTATTTTCACTATTTTATTGTACCCTATCGTATCAATGCAATGTTTTGTGGACCCAGGACATACTTGAAAACAAGAGAAATCTCAATGTATCCTTCCTGGTAAAACATTTTATAAATTAATAAATTTAGAGCCTGTGTGAGCCTCATTTGTGTGAATAAAGTTCAATTAACATGATTTAAAAACTTCTAAAGTTAACACACTATGCTGTCACATCTGATTGAATATTAAACCATTTTTTTCATTAAGGCTGTGTGAGTTACAGTCAGTGGAGGTATGGCTAGGGCTGCCTAAACATAAACAAAAGTATTTAACTCCTAATTTGCAGAGAACTGAGCAGTGACACTGCAGGGGCATGGTCTATACACCAAAACGGCTTCATTAAGCTGAAGTTGTTTTGGTGCTTAGTTTATCAGTTTAAAGACTGCGTGGGTAGGTATTGGACAAAAGAATGCCATGCATTTTTTTCAAAAGGAAGATTTTAGCAAAAATTAAATCTTTATACAAAGGTTGATTTTGAGGATATGTTTAAAAATTAGCAAGTTACAATATTGTAAGTATTTTGTATCAAAGCAGTTTCTTTGCGTGACAGGCCGTATACAGGCTAATATGTTAGTGGAAACTTGTAAAGGTTACATAAAACAAAAAAATTTTGGTAGTCTTATTGTAAGTACGCAAAGTGGCTAAATAGAGCTAGCCAAAAAAAGCTTTCAACTTCCCACTTATTTGGAATTTGACTGGTATGCAATCATCTTATTTACTTAGCATGATAGTATTTTGTTTAATCTTTAAACAAACCTTGTTTTATCTTAGCAGTTACTGTACATAATATATAGGACAGCACAAGGATATACTTTTATCACAACTCATTATTTTGTGCTGATTTTGTTGATAATGCAGATTAAAGTAGTTCGGCTGTGTTAATTATTACTACTGGGAAATGTGTTTTGAGAATTTTAATTCCTAGATCTTTAGTTTGTAATTTCTACCCAAATTCAAGCTTGACAACTCCACTTGCCCCCCAAGTGCTTGTATCAATGATGGGGTCAACCAACGTAAAGAGCAAACAAAACATTATAACTCACCTTTCTGCATGATTTTCAGGTCTGAGCAACTGTCCTCTGCCTCCTGTTGGATGTAAAGCTGGTTTTCCTGGGGGTACACCACTTCGAGTGGTGGTTTTGCTCTTAGCCGAAGCTGAAATTCAAATGATAAATCTTTACTATTCCATCTGTATCGATTTATCCCATAAATACACACTGCTCAAGATACTGGGCAGTATAGGACAGGGAGACCTAGAACAAGGCTGGCTTGGGCTAGTAGTAAAGCAGGTACTCGGGTACCCAAGTCTATCTATGCATGCATTGGCACTTCCATACATCCCCTGTAGAGATTATATATTGAATTGGCATTTAAATAATATGAGTTTTAACTGAAAAAGTTGACTATCAGAAAAACTAAGGTAAAACTAAAAACAATAGTTGCCTATGGCAGGTCAACAGGTGGTTATGGGTTATATAGAAACCCCTATTTAGGTAACATAGGTTGCACTCTGCAGGTTGAGACAGTCTATGGATGGTCTCAGGCTCTGCCCTAGGTTAAGTCCTGCAGACCGGGGGCTGGAACAGTCGGTTCCGCAGCCATTCTCCATGGTATCAGCATCGTAGAAGGTAGCATCAGTGCACGGAAAAGCTTCGCTGGGTCCTCCCCTGCCGACAGGACCAGCACTCAGTCTTCGTGGGGCACCACCAAAGTCCCTGATGGTCCCTACGGATACCTTATGACATGCTCTCTTAAGGTGATCGTCAGGAATCGGCAGAGAACTAGAAAGACCATATTTTATTGTATTTAATTAACAACCGAGTATCTTTATTGTTGAAAAATCTCTCTGATTGAACTTGATGGGAAATTTGAGCCTGTACCTAGTTCAAAGACAGGGTCTATTGTCTTTTCCAATATTTGGCAATGCAGATCTTTGCATCAGAATAGCAAGCTGTCTGCTGACATCATCAGAAATGGTGGCCTGATCCAATCACAGTGCTTCCCCATAGGATTGGCTGAGACTGACAAGGAGGCAGATCAGGGGCAGAGCCAGCATTATTCAAACACAGCCCTGGCCAATCAGCATCTCCTGATAGAGATGAATTGAATCAATGAATCTCTATGAAGAAAGTTCAGTGTCTGCATGCAGAGGGAGGAGACACTGAATGCTTGGATGCATTTTAGGCAGCCATGACCCAGGAAGGATCTCTAACAGTCATCTGAGGAGTGGCCAGTGAAGTTATCACTAGGCTGTAATGTAAACACTGCATTTTCTCTGAAAAGTGCTTACAGCAAAAAGCCTGAAGGTTATGATTCTACTCACCAGAACAAATACTAAAGGCTGTAGTTGTTCTGGTGACTATAGTGTCCTTTTAAAAAAATCCTATTATATCATGTTTAATATGTTCCAATACACCGCATTCCCACAAGATATGAAGGTGTGTGTCTTTTTCACTTTGACATCGCCAACATAGATCTGTAGTTTGTCTATCTATTTTGGCTAGCTTTGAGGCAACCAATTACCATCGATGGGTTAATTGATAGTATTGTTCTTGTAAATTAATACAATGCGTAGCTTTCCTAGTACTTTGCCAAACCTCAAACCATATTTGTAAGGGAAATTGATAAATCAAATCCTGTTCCAATTTGTGTATATATTTTGCTTTGTATAAGGTATTTTCCGAGGACAAAATGGTAATAATGTTTTATATAAGATTTGAGGGCCAATAAGATTGGGTAAATTTAACCCATAAATCGATTTCTATTTGACATGGATAAAAAAAATTCTTATCATTAGATAGTTAAATAATTCACCTAATGGAAGATTATATTTGTTATGAAGGTCTCTAAAGGAACTAAAGCTATCATTGGTATATAGGTCCGATATGAACAATATGAATTCCTTAGGTCTGTCCTCGACATTAAGGAAATGGTTTCTATATACAGAGATATCACATCAGTCGGGGTAATGGGGGAAATATAATTGGTTCTCTTCATTCTTTTTTTAAATTTATTGATAGAGAATAACATAAAACATCCCATTCTTACTAACTCCAAAACAAAGAGATTAAAAAGCTTCATTGTATTTTTTTTTTGCAATATGAGATGTTATGCACATTAGGGGTTATTGTGTTTGTGTATAGGGGGTACAGTGTGTATAAGGGATGTAGTGTGTGCATTGGTATATAGTGTGTACATTGGATTGTAATACACATATAAAATTCATAATGCAGAAAGAACGAGTTTTTGCAGGAAGGATAGCATGTAATGAAGGATGGATTTGTGATCATCCTTTAGTGACACTACCGATGTTCTTACCCTGTTTCATCTTGATTAAATCCATTTGGAGCTTTTTTTGCTCCCTGGTCATTGTGTTGACATGATAAAGTTGGGCTTCTTCTATCTGCTGAATCCCATTGTTAAGTCGCACCTCTGCCCTTTTGGCTCCACGTCTCTCAGCCTCCCATTGCTTATCCATAGTGCCATCAAGTCGTTTGGATCGACTCATATTTTAAACTGTGAACATAAACAGAATTTGGTCAATATTGTTACTTCAACAAGTAACTTAAAGGGACACTCTAAGTTCAATAATAACCTGTACTCCGTGCAAACCTTATGATGGAAAGAAGCCCTCGCCATTGTCTCATTGCACACAGTTACTTTTAACAGCAATAACGGCAAGTATAAGTTCTTATCGTCACTCACACATGCCAAAGAGAGAAGACTTAGCTGTCCCTATTTCTCACAGTTATCTTTCATTGGGCCCCATCCCATCACGTCCCAAACTCTTATTACAGAATTACTCCCATCTTACTGGGCAGAAGCTGGAGCTGCACATATTGGGGAGTGTAGCATCACAACTAAGTTATATTTATAGCTCCATTCACAAAACTCTTTGTGGAACTATCAGTAAGCTGATAGCAACCAAGTCCAGCTTAGGCACCTGATTTATTTGCCATATCTGATGAATGGAACTGCTGCAGAAGAAAGGGATGTTCACTGGAGGAAGAGGTAGGAATGAGAGACAGACCAAAAGAGAGACTGGGGAAGAGAAATTGAGACTGAGGAAGAAAGAGTTTTGAGGGTGTATGGAAACTGGACAAGAGGGGACTCTACAGAAACTTATGCAATACAGAAATGAAAGCGTATATGTTACTATTTTCTTCTTACAATCAAACAAAATGTGGTGAGAGCATAACTAAAAGGCATAAATATTACCACACATGTAAATGGGATAATCCTGTAAATTAAAGCAAACACGAAAAAACATAGGATAATAACGTTTTTAAAAAGTGAAACCTTAAAGGGACACAATAGTCACCAGAACAACTACAGCTTAATGTAGTTGTTCTGGTGAGTATAATAGCTCCCTTTAGGCATTTTCATGTAAACACTACCTTATCAGTGAAAATGTTTATATTGCCCCTAGGGACACCTCCAAGTGGCCACTCGTTAGATGAATTTTCCTCATGGAGATGCATTGATTCAATGCATCTCTATGAGGAGGTCCTGATTGGCCAAAACGGCATTTGGCCCTGCCCCCGTGCCGTTTTAGCCACTCCAATGCTTTCCCTATGGAAAAGCATTGGATTGGCCAAAAATCTGCAATTTCGATGATTTCACCAAGGGAGCGGAGCCAGTGCAGGTGGACCCGCGCGGCGCTGGAAATAAGACCAACTGTCAGAACTTCAATGGTAGTTCCAAGATTACACACCCACTTAAAAACGAGATACACTAGCTAATAGACCCAATACAGTGTTGCAAAGAGTTGCAATAATCAAAGGTACTCAGCTGTGTCTAAGTTCTGACAGTTGGTCCTATTTTAAACAAGTATATTTACTTTACTTTTTCGTTTTTCAAACACATTTATTTTGACTTCTTCTTTTACTACATTTATTATCTTTTTGTGTGTGATTTCTTTACCCGTATAGGGATTCAATAAAGTTTGTGTTTTTAATCAAGGCACCTAGCCTAATACCTGTTTAGTTAATTTAAACAAGGGTAATAGGATTAGTATTGGTCTTGTTTTTTGCAAGCCTAGTCTAATCTTTCTTTGTATAAACGTCTTACTATGGGACAAAAACTCTAAATGATCCTAAATATAAAAAACTTAAACTAATAACTTAAGAAAACATATATATATAGTATTCCGGACCAAATGACATAGAATATATCCTAATCAACAGGAAGACATATAACTTATATTAAAAAACAATATATATATATATATATATATATATATATATAATACATTATATTTAGTAAAAGTCCTGGGGAAAGTAGAAAAAAGAGGAAATGATGTTAGAAAAAAGGGAACAATTTTAATAGTTAACATAAATATGAGAGCATAATAAAAAACATAAATGTTTAAATATATAAAAAATAGATACATATAAAAACATATATTTATCCATAGTATATATAAATATAAACACATACAAATTTAAAAAAGAAGAGAACAAAAAAGTAAATTCTATATTTTTATATTTCTATATATATGGAGTAATCTCAAAATCAGCATTAAATCCTTGTGGTATGAGGGAGTCTACATTAAAGATCCATTTCCTGAGGAGGTTATTTTTATCTCCACCCTTCCAATGAACTGTTATTCTCTCTAGTCCTAGGGATTCTAGTCCACTTGGATCCCCATTGTTTAGAGACGCTATGATTAGTAAATTTATGATTAATATTATAGATATGTTCTCTAATACAAATTTTTAAAGAGCGTGACGTTTTACCTATATACTGAAAGCCACAAGGGCATATCATGAATAAATAATGTCCTTCATATTGCACGTTATAAAAGTTTTAATATCATAGTCTTTTTCAGTTGCAAATGAAGTGAATTTAAAAATATTTTTGAATTTATTCTTTCTCGATTTGCACCCTCTACATTCTTCACAAAAGTAAAAAACATTTTGTTCTTTTAAAAAATTACTTGTATTCCTTTCATTTTCTTTATCTAAAAACCTTTTGGTTTAAATTTGTTTAAAATTTTTGGCTCCTGCAAATATAAATCTAGATTTTTCTTCTAAAAGAGGGGATATTTCTTCATCGATCTTAAGAATGTGCCAGTTCTTATAAATGATTTTCCATATATTCTGATTGAACAAAAATAAGTGGGACTTTGACTCTACCTGTCTGGCTTTTATTTTTGACCTTATATTTAAGAAGTGGTTGTCTTTCTATTTTTTCCACTTGTTTACAGGTTTGTTCTAAAAATGACGTGTTATATCTTTTTTCTAAAATTGTTCTTTTAAAAGCCAGGCTTGTTTTATATATTCTTTATTTTCCGTACAGTTGCGTTTAAGTCTTAAAAACTGCCCTTTTGGTATATTGCTTAACCAAGGTTTAAAATGGCAGCTAGTGCAATCAATAAAACTATTAACATTCACTGACTTAAAAAAAAAGTTTTACTTTTAATCTTTTGGTCTTCAATATAAATGGATAGATCTAAATTTGGGTGGAATTTATATCATAAGTGAGTGTAATATTCCACTCATTAATATTAAGAGAATCAATACATAGTTTTTTTGGTTTTTTTACATTCTTTATTTTTTCATACGATAGGTGTAGCGGGCTCAAGTCAACATTTGGGCTTACGCAGAAGCCAGTATTTGAGAGGTCATTCATAAAAATACAATATATAACTTTAGTTTACATGAACATTCCTCTTTGTGCAATAAATAGTTTTAAAGACTCTTCACTGCCTTTCCAAATATAACAATATCGTCAATATAACGTTTATAGAGGACCAAATTTGCCCCAATGTCTTTTATGGAATAAATAAAAAGTTCTTCCCAGTAAGACAGAGAAATTTGCATAACTAGGGGCAAATATGGTCCCCATTGCCGTACCCTTAATCTAAAGTTAAAATTAACTATTAAACCAAAAGAAATAATTTTTTTAACTCATATTTATTCCCTCAATTAAAAAGTCAGTTTGAGAGCTGGAAATGTCTCCAAATTTAGTTAAAAAAATGTCTGGTGGCCTCACAACCTTTCTCATGCTGAATATTGGTGTAGAGGCTACCGACATCACAAGTGGCCATATTAAATGAATCTTCCCATTTAAGATTATTTAAAATATTTTAAAAACTAAAGGTGTGTTTTACATATGTTTGGCAGTGTTTTACCGGACTTTGCAGGAAATAATTATTACACTGGGATAATGGCGATAAAAGGGATCCAATGCTAGACACAATTGGTCTCCCCGGTGGATTATTAACATTTTTATGGACCTTGGGGAGAACATAAATGACCTGTATTCTTGGAAATTGTATATCTAAAAAAATCATACTCTTTTTTTTTTATTTAAAATTCTGTCATTTAGTCCCTTATTTAAAAATGTCTTATAATCACTTTTAATTGTTTCCAGGGGGTTGTTGGGGAGTTTTGTATAAGTAGTTTCATCTCTTAGTTGGCTATATACAGCGGGAAACACTCTTGATCTCGCCTTCACCAACCTCTATACTGCCTCTAATCTCTCCAATATTCATTTTCCTCTATCTGACCACCATCTGCTGACCTTTGACATACCTAAGACCCAATTGACACCACCGTCTGAACATCACTCTCACAGAAACCTCAAATGTCTTGACCTAGAGCATTTCTCCACTAATCTCCAAACTCTCCTTTTACCTATCTCAAACCTCACCTGCCCTAGTACTGCAACCTCTTTCTACAATTCCACCCTCTCCTCTCAACTAGACACCATGGCACCTTCTACATTTAAACCCTGCAGGCGCCCCCAACAACAACCCTGGCACACCAAGCTCACTCAATACCTCCAAAAATGCTCCAGAACTGCTGAATGCTGTTGGAGAAAGTCTCACTGTGCGTCTGACTTTCTCCACTATAAATTTATGCTGAGCTCATACAGCTTGACTCTTTCCTCTGCAAAACTAAATTACTTCAATATCCTCATAACCACACTCTCCCGCGAACCCAAACAACTATTTCACACATTTAACTCTCTTCTTCGCCCTGTTGTTCCTCCTTCACCTACTAACTTGCCTCAGACTTTGCAACTCACTTCACTGACAAGATCTCTACAATCAGGGAACAGATCTCTCATCTTTCTTCTTCCCCTTACAATACTTCCCCTAACTTCACTCCCTCTGCTGTTCTATGTTCATTCGCACCTGCTACATTGGAAGAGGTTTCTGCTCTGCTCAGGTCCTCCCGCCCCACCACCTGCTCCCTAGATCCAATTCCCTCACATCTCATCCGTACTCTGTCTTCTTCTCTTTCTCCACCTCTCACTAAAATTCTCAATCTCTCTCTCTCCTCTGGTATATTTCCATCGCCCTTCAAACATGCAACTGTAATCCCAATTCTAAAGAAGCCCAACCTTGACCCTAACTCCCCATCCAACTACCGTCCTATCTCGCTACTGCCTTTTGCATCCAAGATCCTTGAAAGAATTGAGTATGCGAGATTGACAGACTTCCTCGAGTCCAACTCTCTGCTAGACCCGCTTCAGTCTGGTTTCCGGGCTAAGCACTCTATGGAAACGGCACTGACCAAAGTATTCAATGATCTACTCACTGCAAAATCTCATGGTCACTACTCTATCCTAGTTCTCCTTATCCTGTCTGCGGTTTTTGACACTGTTGATCATCAACAGCTTCTTCTCATCCTCCGCAATATCGGTCTACAAGATATTGCTCTCTCCTGGTGCTCCTCCTACCTCTCCCAGCGCTATTTCAGTGTTTCTTTCTCTGGCTCTGCTTCTTCTCCCCAACTCCTCTCTGTTGGTGTCCCCCAAGGTTCAGTCCTTGGTCCCCTACTGTTCTCCATCTATACTGCCTCCCTTGGTAAACTCATTAGCTCCTTTGGCTTCCAATATCATTTCTTTGGAGATGACAGGCAAATCTACCTGTCCTCTCCTGATCTCTCCCAGTCCCTCTTGACTAGTGTCTCTGACTGCCTCTCTGCTATTTCTAACTGGATGGCTGCCCACTTCCTTAAACTAAACTTGACCAAAACTGAAATTCTGGTCTTTCCTCCTTCAAGTGTTGTTACTCCTGTGTCTGTCACCCTCAAAGTCAATGGTGCTACCATCAGCTCCACCACCCAGGTTCGCTGCCTAGGTGTTCTCTTTGACTCCGACCTCTCCTTCAAGCCACATGTTCAGTCTATCGCCAAATCCTGCCATTTCCATCTCAAAAACATTGCGCGCATCTGCCCCTACTTAACGCCTGATGCAACTAAGGTGCTGGTCCATTCCAGTGTCCTTTCTCGCCTTGACTACTGTAATCTGCTTCTCAGTGGTCTTACGTGCTTCCAACTTGCGCCATTACAGTCCATAATGAATGCGGGGGCGAGGCTCATCTTCCTGTCCGCCCGAACCTCCCACGCCTCACCCTTCTGTCAGTCCCTACATTAGCTTCCTATAAGATATAGAGCTCAATTTTAAATTCTGGTTCTTGCTTTCAAACCTCTACATAATTCTGCTCCCACCTATCTATCCTCCCTTATACACAAGTATGTCCCGTTTAGGCCCTTACGATCTGCTGAAGACTTACGTCTATCTTCTGTCCGTACTCCCACCTCTGATGCTCGCCTTAAAGATTTCTCGAGGGCTGCACTGTTCCTGTGGAACTCGCTTCCCTCCTCCGTTAGATGCTCACCCAGTCTCCACTCCTTCAAAAAATCGTTAAAAACCCACTTCTTCATAAAAGCGTATCAATTAAACTGTTAATAGCTCCCGACTGATTCCTCTTCTTCAACTGTCACCAGCCTAATACTATCCTTACCTTTTGTGTCACTTTACCCCACTCCCTCTAGCATGTAAGTTCATTGAGCAGGGCCCTCAACCCCTCTGTTCCTGTGTGTCCAACTTGTCTGGTTACAACTACATGTCTGTTCATCCACCTATTGTAAAGCGCTGTGGAATTTGATGGTGCTATATAAATAACATAATAATAATATAATTTTTCCACATATTTATCTTTTTGCCAAATAATTACTCCTCCCCTATTATCTGCTGGTTTCACCACAATTGTTTTATCACTTTGAAAATCTTTAAGTGCTAATTTTTCATTCCTTGTCAGATTATCTTGATGCTTGTTGTTTTCAATTGAGGGAAAAAAATGATTTAAAAAAATAATTTATTTTGGTTTAAACTTGGTAAGAGTCTAATGGAGTAGGGAAGGGAGTGCCAACGGAAATGTGCAGAGAAGTCTAGAAAGCAAGAGTCAGAGGTGCACATAACCTCCAACCCTCATGCCTCTAATTTGTACATCCCCACCTTCATCCACCCAGTTTGTATATGCCCATAACCTTAATGCCAACAGTTTTGGTTTCAATCAGCTTTTATTTGTGTCATCGAAATGTACAACAGTGTGATAGGATAGCAACATATGAGACACGCAGGTCTCGCACAGTCGTAAATAGCAATATGATTGCAAATAAATGTAAACTTAAACAGTATTACCAATTAGGAGGTAATAAAACATCAGTATCGGTAGCCAACAGTTTTGATATGTCCCTACCACTCCTTACAATAGGAGGGTAAGGCAGGCATTTCTAGTACCACAACCACTACTGAATGCTCTAGTGGTTAAGGTGCCTGTAGTGTTCCTTTACCACTATGTACTTAGGAAACCTTGGGGTTTGGGTGCTCCATTGAGCCATTTCACCTAGGGGATTTGGGCAGCTCTCCGGTCCATTAATATTAGATTGGGCACATTGGGCAGTTGCAACACTGACTTGGTTTCTCACCTTTGTATACTGAATAAAACAATAAATGTTGTTGTAATGGTTGTAATGGTTGCTTAGAAATGTTCAATGAGCAGTTACTAAAATAATAAGTTAACATTCCATATTTTCTGAGTTGCATAATATACAATGCGTGAAACATAAGAACTTAAACAAAGTAAAGCCACAGTGTGATGTAATTCTTGGGCCGGTTGAGATTGTGGCATACAGTGCTATAAGGAAACTCAGTGGGGGATATTTATCAAAGTGTTCTGAATAGTGGTGGTGGCTAAATTCCATCAATATTTTGATAGCATTTATTACAGTGATCTAAAATGTGATTTTTTTCATAGTAAATTCTGCCAGTTTTCACAGAAACTACTATTTATGAAGACTGCCAAATTTACAGGGGTGATCCTTTAATGCATGTTATAATCTGTTCTCTCGCTTTGTGCTACAATGTAATTACATGACCCACCATTGTGACATGCTAAAAGAACTAAACTGGCTGTCGCTGGAATCTAGACGTACCCTTCATCTTTCCATGCCTTGTGTTTAGGAACTTTTCTCGGAATCGCCCACCCTACCTGAGCAGAAAGCTCTCCCAGGCTGTTCCCACCTCCTGTAACCTCCGATCCAGTACCAGCACTTTATTTAGTCTATCTCGATAAAAAAAGAAAGCGTCTCGATCCTCCTTTTCCTACAGAGCATCGCAATTATGGAACGACCTCCTGCACACATTCAAATCTTCCACAGGCCTAAAATACTTTAAGAGATCCCTCTCTACATACCTCAAAACAGAATGCACCTGTCATGGTTGATTATATATTTCTTACCTGTTCTATGTTAAATTTTGTATATATTGTGTGTTACTATTGTTTTTGTATTTTATTGTACCCTATCATATCAATGCAATATTTTGTGCACCCATGACATACTTGAAAACGAGAGAAATCTCAATGTATCCTTCCTGGTAAAATATTTTATAAATAAATAAATGTATGTATGTGTGTGTATCTCTCTATGTGTTTGTCTGTGTTTGTGCATGTGTATCTGTATGTCTGCATATCTGTATGTCAGTGTGTGCCCTGTGTATCTTAATGTGTGTCACTGTATCTGTATGAGTGTCATTCTGTGTATTTGAATGTTTGTCCTTAAGTGTTTGTGTATCTGTCTGTATGTGTGTCTGTGTATCCATATGTGTGTCAGTTTGTGTCAGTGTTTGTATCAATAGGAGTGTCATTCTGCGTATCTCATTCTGTGTGTCTGTGTATCTGCATGTGTGTCTGTGTGTATATATGTGTATTTGTGTGTTAGTTTGTGTGTCTGTATTTGTATTTGTGTGTGTGTGTGTTTGTGTATGTGTGTCTGTGTATCAGCATGTGTGTCCGTGTATGTATCTGTATGTGTTATATGGTGTGTATCTGCATGTATGTCAGTGTGTAAATGAGACACATGAAGGGGCTGGGGGTTGAGACATATGGAGGGGGCCCAGGGCAATTTTCACACCAGGCCCTGTGATTTCTAGTTACACCTCTGCATCCAGCTCAGTTTCGACTGGACCATTAGGCATCCAGCTCACTCTCCACTGGATCACCAGGAAAGGTAAGCAGGTTGGGGAAGCAAAATATACACAAGCACAATACTCAGCCACAGTCAAACTCTCCTACACACACACACAATACTCAACCAGCACACACAAACATGCTTAGCACCCACAATACAGCTGTCATCCTCCTCCAAACACACAACACTCTACGACTACACACCACTTACAGAAAAAGAGCCCAAGTCTAAGAGAGGACCACAATATAGCTCCCTGGCTAGGGCTATGGTTAATCAAAGCTCCTAAAACACAGACGTCAGTCCCTGAATTCTTTACACATGACCATGCACAAAATGCATTCTAGGTTCGTGCATAGGAGTTGTAAAATACAAGAACCTCCATTATAGATGTGACTTTTACCAAAATAAAAATGGTATGTGCATCATTTTTAATTATGGACATGGAGATTTCAAAACTATCTGAATATAACCTGATCATGTGATTGTTCGTAATGCAGAATTCTAAGCTAAAATGTATCTAAAACTCAATCCAGGAGAGGACCTGGTGCTACTGGAGGGGAAGAGACTGCAGGGGCCACCCTTTAATGGGCAAGCCAGCAGGGCCTGGGACTGCATACATATATAGCAGTACTCTTTATATATGTATGCAAATAGTTGAAATAGACGGCCTAGGCCCATACTGCAGGTTAGTTATAATGTACAGGGCTGGCATTTGCCGCCCCTGTCAAAGTCCCTCCTCGGGGCCTGTGGCCCCATCAGACAGTACCTATGCAGGGGCCGACCCTGCTAACAACTGACTTTGGGCCCCCGGCAGGTGCCGGTTTTGCCAATCCCTAGGAATGTCCCTGTATATTTATAGACTTATTAAATATAGAAATATAGATATTTTTCCCTTAAAGGGACACTATAATCACCTGAACAACTTTAGCTTAATGAAGCAGTTTTGGTGTATAGAACATGCCCCTGCAGCCTCACTGCTCAATCCTCTGCCATTTAGGAGTTAAATCCCTTTGTTTATGAACCCTAGTCACACCTTCCATAAACACTTCCTGTAAAGAGAGCCCTATTTAGGCTTTCTTTATTGCAAGTTCTGTTTAATTAAGATTTTCATATCCCTTGCTATGTTAATAGCTTGCTAGACCCTGCAAGAGCCTCCTGTATGTGATTAAAGTTCAATTTAGAGATTGAGATACAATTATTTAAGGTAAATTACATCTGTTTGAAAGTGAAACCAGTTTTTTTTTCATGCAGGCTCTGTCAATCATAGCCAGGGGAGGTGTGGCTAGGGCTGCATAAATAGAAACAAAGTGATTTAACTCCTAAATGACAGTGAATTGAGCAGTGAAATTGCAGGGGAATGATCTAGACACTAAAACTGCTTTATTTAGCTAAAGTAATTTAGGTGACCATAGTGTTCCTTTAATTGGTTACGTTTTCTTACTTGAGCCACTTGATTCCTTACTTCCTTACTTGATTATTATATTATGTATATGTATATATATATATATATATATATATATATATATTGCAGTACACTGATTGGCCCATTTCTGCTGACTTTTGGTTAGTCTGCTCTGTTTCTTGAATCTATTTTTTTGGTGCTAAAGTTCAGTAGAGCCAAACTGACATGTAGCCTCATTTGGAAGTTCAACATTTTTTTTATTTTCAGGAAAAATGGTTGGCTGGACCAAATTGTCTCGCTATGCAGAAGTCTATTTTATTAACTAAATCCAGAATTTTTTTTTTTATATATAAATTCTTTATTTTTGAGTGCATGAGAAAGAATAACAATAACATCGTTTTGGTAAGTTTGATTTAGGCATACAATGCACAATTTTTGTTAAGGAAAAAGGTGATATGAGTTGTAGGTAACATATACATACAGGTTTTGAAAGAATCACCGGTACATAAAATAAACAGGCTAAGGTACGCTATTCTATACTTTTGGTGTGTAGCCAACTCGGCTGCTGTTTTCGTAGGCTGGGTGGGGTGCTCTGTAACCCTGAGCTTGGGAGGGTGTGGGGGGGAGGTTTATAGATCGGCAGCGCCGTGGTCATGATGTACCTTCCAATCTGCCTTCATTGGAAATTGGGTGTGCTTATTGGGGAGTAAATTAGAGTAAGGGGGGGGTAGATTTACGACCTGCTCCCTCTATAAGGACTTGGATTTTGATGTGGGGTAGCATGGGGTGGTTTGCTGTTATTTGTATTACCCTTGTGAAGTTCGTAGGCTCGAAGTGTGGGGACAATTCACAGGCTACCAACCCACTATGTGTGGACTGCGTTGGTTGTGATGTGTTTTAATAAGCGGGGAAAGTGTCAACTGCCCCTCCATATGGCTCAGAGTAGGCCTTCTATCTTACTTGTCTTACTCTACATTACTTGTTTTCCTCTGCCATGGCAATGTTACACTGTACAATAGATAAGGTCCGAGTGCCGTGTAAGTACCCTTGGTTTACAGTTACTGCGGTATTGTATGTGTTGTCATGTATAAGTAAGTTAAATTCAATTAAATTCAAACTAAGTAAATTATATTCAACTGATACAGGTACACTTCCAGATTGGGACATATTTGCAAAGTGAGGCGATCAAATATTTACAGTACAATGTAACATTTTGCGGTTTAGGAGGTGTAAGGTACTATTAAGGAACAAGTCCTTCAATTTTTCATACTGATGAATGTCCTCGCAGACCATCGGAAACAGTCACTAGGCTACCACTGCAAGCGCCATGGGATCGGTACCAGCGATACAAGGATTTGTATTTTGCTTTGGCTTTCGCCACGGTAAGTGCTCATATATGAGCAGGTGTGTTTGTTCCCAGGTGTGTCAGGGCTCTCCCCCGGTGTTCGCCCTTGGTTTCTCTGGCCTAGTTGTAGGTGGAGGCACCTTGTTGCCGAGCGCTGAGCTTCGGAACCTCAAACTCAGGCCCGGACTGGCCATTGGGCACACCGGGCAAATGCCTGGTGGGCCGCGGTGGCTATGGGCTGAGGCCGACAGGGGAGATCCCAGGATCTCCCCTGCCGGTCTATGCAGGGCCGGCGTTATCCGAGCGCCGGCCCCGCTGTCTTCCATGGAGGGCCGGTGGGGAGATCAAAGATCTCCCTCACCGGCCCACATGCGCTCAAACGCGGCCGCCGGCGGGTAGAGAGGGAGGGAGACAGCCGCCAGGAAAGAGGACCCGGCGGAGCTCTAACATGCTATGGCAACCGGCCGGGTCTCGCGAGAGTGAACTCTAGCCCCAAAGGGCTAGAGTTCACTTACCACGAGGACCACTAGGGATGGCTGGCAGCAGCATGACCCCCCCCCCCCTCTTCCAGGCTACAGGTAAGAATGGAGGGGGTGGGGGAGTGGGTATATAATGTATTTATTATTATTTGTATTTATTATTTTGTATTTATTATTATGTATTTATTATTATGTATTTATTATGTATTTATTAATATCATTTATTATTATGTATTTATTATTATTATGTATTTATTATTATTATGTATTTATTAATATTATTTATTATTATGTATTTATTATTATTATGTATTTATTATTATTATTTTTAGTAAAACACCTACCTGCCTCCCCCCAATACAAAATCCTTGCAAACACACACATCACCCTCACCCATCACCCTAACACATACACAGCACCCTAACACACACACACAGCACCCTAACACCAGCACCCTAACATTGACACAGCACCCTAACACACACATACAGCACCTTAACACACACACAGCACCCTAATACCAGCACCCTAACATTGACACAGCACCCTAACACACACAGCACCCTAACACCAGCCCCTAACATTGACACAGCAACCCACACACACACAGCACCCTAACACCAGCACCTTAACATTGACACAGCACCCTAACACCAGCACCCTAACACTCACACAGCACCTAACACCAGAACCCTAACATTGACACAGCACCCTAACACCAGCACCCTACACACACACACACAGCACCCTAGCACACACACAGCACCCTATCACCAGCACCCTAACATTGACACATCACCCTAACACACACACAGCACCCCAACACACACACAGCACCCTAACATTGACACATCACCCCAACACACACACAGCACCAAGCACACACACATCACCCTAACACACACACAGCACCCTAACACACACACAGCACCGTAGCACTCACACAGCACCCTAACACACACAGCACCCTAACACACACACACAGCACTGTAGCACTCACACAGCACCCTAACACTCACACAGCAGCCTAACACCAGCACCCTAACACCAGCACCCTAACATTGACACATCACCCTAACACACACACAGCACCCTAGCACTCAAACAGCACCATAACACCAGCACCCTAACATTGACACATCATCGTAACACACACACAGCACCGTAGCACTCACACAGCACCCTAACACCACACAGCAGCCTAACACCAGCACGCTAACACCAGCACCCTAACATTGACACATCACCCTAACACACACACAGCACCCTAGCACTCACACAGCACCCTAACACACACACAGCACCCTAACATACACACAGCACCCACTCACACAGCACCCTAACACCAGCACCCTAACATTGACACATCACCCTAACACACACACAGCACCCTAGCACTCACACAGCACCCTAGCACACACAGCACCCTAACACACACACAGCACCCTAACACTACAGCACCTCACACAGCACCCTAACACTCACACAGCACCCTAACACCAGCACCCTAGCACTCACACAGCACCCTAACACTCACATAGCACCCTAACACCAGCACCCTAACATTGACACAGCACCCTAACACACACACACAGCACCCTAACACACACACAGCACCCTAACACATACAGCAACCTAGCACACACACACACACACATCACCCCAACACATACACAGCACCCCAACACATACACAGCAACCCAACACACACACAGCACCCCAACACACATCACCCTCACACACACATCACCCTCACTCACACAGCACCCTCAAATACACAGAACCCTCGCACAGTGCCCTAACACACAGTGCCCTCACACACAGCGCCCTCACACACAGCGCCCTCACACACAGCACCCTCACACACACATACTGCACCCCCACACACTGCACCCTCCCACACACATACTGCACCCCCCCCACACACAGCACCCTCCCACACACACTATACTCCTCACAAATGCACACTACACCCCTCACACACAGCACCCCCCAAACTCACTAGATCTCATATACGCACTCCTGAGTCCTTCAAACACACACTAGATCCCCTACACACAGATGCTGCACCACTTACACACACACTACATTTCTGACATGCACACTCAGGATCCCCTATGAACACACTAGATACCCCTGAGACAAGTTTCAAGCAAACACAATGCAAGCATGTTATTAAATTTGCTTGCGCTGTGCAGATCAAATACAGGGCCCTTTTCTCATGCCCTGGAAGAGCATTGAACCAACATGCTCACTTTGAGAAGGGGCGTGCTTGTCATTGGGGCTGACAAAACACACCCTATCTGGCCCCGCCCCCTTTTCAGTGGGCCGCTGTAATTAAAAATGCCCGGGCCGAATTTGTTCCCCAGTCCGGCCCTGCTCAAACTTAACACATTGTTCCTGGCTAGGGAGGGCAGGCTTTTGAATAAGGTTGAATAAGTTCAGTTCCTCAGGTACCTGGTCTGTGCTTCAAGAGGGATAGCACCTTAATTTGGTGTAATATATCCAGGAGCTGTTTTACCCACAAATGGCTGTTGTATATATAGTTATGCCAAATATGTTACAAAGAAAGAGTTCAAATATTTAGGGAGAGTAATATAACAATATGTATGGTGTGTACAACTTTAAACCTGTAAGAGGCAGATTCAATATGGTATACACCAAATACTCTACTTAACATAAGCGACTATAAGCGGTATAGAATAACAGCATAGATAACTGTTTTCAAAGCTGTATTTGGGTTAGTATCACAAATCAGTATAATGACACAACTATTCAAAGTGAGTATCTCTTTAAATCTGCTACAGGCAGGTTGACTAAATGGTGTGCCAAGAATGTACCTTTGAATTGTACAGATTAGGAATATATACAATACTTAGTACTGTATTCTAAAGTGCAATAATAAATATAAAAATTATTCATTAGAAAAAACCACTAAAAAAGAAAAAGAAAAATAGAAATAGTTTAAAACTATAATAGAAAATTTATTCACAATTTTAAAGTATAGAAGTATTAAAAATTATAAAAATATGAGTCAGGAACGGTTTGCAAGAAGATTGTCGGCAGGAGGGTAGTCTTCTTTTTCAAACAGCCACAAAAACCGGCCAGGATTGATATGGATATTATGTATCAAAATAAGTCTCTGTACTTGCCGGCATCCGATGCGGTTGGCGTGCGTCCCAGACCTCACTCTGGGTGATAGGTGCTGTCGGCCAATCGGTCCCCTGACTGAAAGTGCTTTTTCATTGGAAAGAAAGAGTTCCTTCTGCCGGTTCAAAACTGCTCCGTATCCTGCTCACTGCTATCTGTCTAACGCGTTCCGTGGGTGTCAGCCCCACTTCATCAGAGACGTGATGGAGGCTGAATGCGGAGCCATGACTTATATACACATCTGGCATATTATCAATAAGTTACATTTTATGTATACAAACATTTTGAAATATATACATATGTATATAAGACTATGAAAATTCATGTTCTAAAAACAAAGAGTAAATAAATGCAAGTGAATATTGGAATATGAGAATAAATGTAAAAGTAGTGGTTTTGGAAAATTGTAAAAATTGGTAAAATGTCTTGACTGTCATATGAAAGTTGTGTCAACAATATAAAGACATTTTTTTACAGAAAATTTTAAAAGATTGTTGAATATTTCTTATATGAAGTAATAGTTTACGAGGACATATTTAAAGAGAGCATATTACAAGAAGACATTTATAGAGGATGATACTAATTGGTTTAGGGTTAATGATCTATTTTGTATTGCGGTCAGTGCTATAGATGAATAGAGATGGAGTAGGAATAGGGGTTAAAGTTGAGTTATAGTTATATTGCAATCAAAAAGAGCATATTGAAAAGGAACATATTCGTAGAGGGTTATGTTAATTAATTTAGGGTTAAAGTTCTATTTTAGATTGCGATCAGTACTATGAATGAATAGAGATCAGATAGGAGTTATAGTTGGAACTAGGGATAGAGTAGCCGACAGAGAGGTTAAAGTCATAGATTTCGTTAATTTATCCCAAAAAAAAAAAAAAAAAGGGAGATCGAAAAATAGATTATTGATGTAAATATAATAAGAAATTAATTTATACATATGAATTTAATATAATAAAAAAATAATAAAAAATTAATTTATGCATATGATATGAGCAAATAGAGTGAATAATACATATATAAACATATTGTATTAAAGTGGTAATTGTGTGCTTAATTGGAACAAGTATTTTATAAAAAGATTATAAAAAAATAAAAAATAAAAATAAAATATTTTAGAGAAATATAAAAAATATAGATTAGTAAAAATAAATGGACAAAAGAGGAGGTAGATGGAAGGTAAAATAGGATTACGTGACGGATAAGCAATAAATATGTATAAAGTGCATTGTGTAGTCGATTTAGTTATAATGTTAAATAATATTGTTGGAAACCTTAAATAGATAGAGTGAATACATGGAGACACCAAAGAGTATAAAATAAAAAAGAAAGAGGGGAGATGTATAAGACTAATAATAATGGAAAAAATATAAATATAAAAATAGAAGTAGAGACAAGATGTAGATTATTAACGTGAATGATGAGTTGATATAGTGAAATTGTGCATTGTGAAAAAAAAAAAACCATAAGAATTATAAGAATTCATAATTCTTCTGTGCTGTTCCTTCCTCCCTGGGTTACTGGAGGTTGAATTTGCACCTGAGGGGGCCTGGCCCGTTTTGTGGGTTCCAGATGGTTGGAATGGTATGAGCTTATCTATGTCCCAATTATGTGGTGCTCTCTGTTCCAGAAGGCTCTTTAGGCCCAAGGCCTGTAGCGCTGCGTCCGATTCTGCGGCTGTGGTAAGTCGTAAGCTCTTCTCTCCTTGCGATATGACCAGGCTCCTGGGGAAGCTCCAACAGTATGGGATTGAGTGGGTGCGTAGTGTCGAGGTCAGAGGTTTAAACTGGCTTCTCCATAACAGCGTAGGGCTGGATAGATCCTGAAAGAATACGAGGTGAGTATTTTCAAAGGAATAAGCAGGCTGTCCCCTCACTGCCGCCATTATTTGTAGTTGCGCTGATCTTGTCTGGAACTGGACGATAACGTCCCTTGCGGAGTCCGCCGGTGCCTTGGTAGCTTTAGGTATGCGGAATATCCCATCCACCAGGACTTGTTTGTTCTGCCTGGGGTTTAGTATGGTGCTCAGCAGCCTCCTGGCATAGTGGGGCAGCTCCTCAGACGCGATTGACTCAAGGATGCCCCTGATCTTAATATTTCTGCTCCTGTGCCTGTCTTCCATAGTGTCCATTCGAATGATAAGTTGTGCTTGGGCTTTTTGGAGCTCTGCTGTCAGGGTCTCCATTGTTTGGCATCTGGAGGGGAGTCCCTGTGCGTCTATTTCGACTGCAGTAACACGTCACTCCATTTTGTGTATGTCTTCTCGCACTATGTCTGCCGCAAATAGCCCTCGGATGTTGCGGAGGAGCGCCTTAATGTCGCCCTTGGTAGCTGGCAATTCATTATCTTCATCGGAGGATGTGTAATGGAGCCCCCCTGCGGCTGGTATCTCATCCAGCTCATCCATAGCCCGTTCTTCGGAGGAGGCTGAAAGCGAGTCGCCATTTTCTTTAGGTGTGGCCGTGCCCGAGGCCCTGGAAGGCCGGAGTAGGAGATCGCCAATGTCCTGGGATCCCGCTGGTTTGACGGGTCCCTGGCGTCTGGACTTCTTCCCCATACTGGCAATGCGTTTTTGCTGCAAAACGAGCTAGTTTAGGTTTGTTTAATAGCTTTTATAGGCTTGTCGTAGCAGAGCGCTCTTGCAGCACGTCTGCTCTTTTTGTCCGCTAACTCCGCCCCCCAAATTCAGAATTTTTGTGGAGAAATAACAAGGTAATTGCAAATTTTAGGTTCTAATAGCCAGTCAGAAAATAGCTGAGACCTACTGGTCCTCCCGCCCTGACAAGACGACCAACTACCCAAGTGACCTGTCTACTCTACCTCTTAGACAGCTGATGCACTCACCCAGGCGTACAGCGCTTATCAGTCCTGTATCTCAAACCCAGCCAGATGGGCAGGTGGGACACCACCATGCCCTGATATAACTACTCCTTTTACACAATGTATGTTATACAAGCGTGCTACTGTGTTATTGACTGGCACTGTTTCACCGATAAATTATAAAAATATGCAATACAAGAATAGAGATTTACAGTATGTTCGAGTTATGAGAAGTAAAAGTATACAATATTTAATACTACACTGGCTTACGGAACTATGCACTGCAAGTTTATTTACTATACATGTCATAATGTTGGCACTTTCCTCCTATGCTTGTAGAGTCAGAAACCATGTTGTACACTGTTCTTGCTTTTAAACCATGAGATTTGCATTAACTGAAAAATGAAAAACCTACAATAAAGATTGTTCCAAAAAAAAGAAAGAAAATAGTTGAGATGTAGAATGCTTCCCATGATCTATTTTTGGTCTAAAAGATGCAAATAATTTCTCAATTTTTCACATCAGTTTAGGCAATACACTCTATAAAATCTCAATTTCTACATTTCTAAATAGTTGCTAATCATTTGGCTAATGAATGCAGAGATGTGATTTTATTATACAAAAAGTATCACTATTAATCACACACTCACGTCGATCGAGGTGGCACCGGCCTTCCTACAAGCACTGGGACTAGCAGAAAGCCATCAGGACCCACAGTCGACACTTGGGATCCTGCCCAAGTCACCCCCTTCGTCCCGAGAGCCGGAAGCTCACAGGCAGCTGACACCTGACTACATCTGGGGACTGGGACAACACATATGGCCATGGCACCTGAGCAGACGCCACTGGGGAAAACTCAATGAGAAGCTGTTATAACCGTTTAGCATTAAGTTAGATTTGTATTTGGTTGTTTTTTTTTTGTTTGTTTTTTTATCTCTCCCACACATAGAATCCGCAGAGACATGAGGCTCGATGCATACTAACACAACACCCTCCCCCCCCCCGCTGCCCCCTTGGTCAGGGGTATCACATAGGAAGAGGATGCACATCTCCCCCATGGCAATATGGCAAAGCCAAAGAAACTAGTCCTGCGATCAAACTCCCATTACTCCTGGGCGGCAGCAATGACTATAATACACATCAGCCAAAATACATATAGTAAAAACCAAAGAAAAAAGTTACCTGCGCTCTTTCCACATCCCTATGTATTTTTAAACAAATGGAGGTTTTTAGTTACCTCCAATGGCCATGAGAGGGTAAGCCCACCTGCCATATCAACGCAGACCTCTTAGGTGGGTCCTAAGGCTAACCATTCGCCTTGCTTCCTTGAGCTTCTGGCAAAAATATCTCTAATGAGACAGAAAGGGGTATTTTTTTTATATGGCAAAGCGCCTAGCGAATCTCACCCATGCAATTCAACAACTCAGCCACTAGGCAAATGACACCCCACACACCAGGGGAACTCCCACATCTCACCACAGGCATACACACGATATGCCACCACTACCCTCAACACAGAATCTCGAACAGCTCTACTACACATCACATGGGAACACCTGAGAGCTAACTTCCTCGAAACACCCAACACCCACAACTCCTCTCAGATGTTCTCAAAATGTTATACCCTGTTATTGTACTTATAAAAAAAAAGGTGCTATGCTATTACTGTACTGATCTATACTTATAATGCCAATGTCGGACACACCTGTACTGTACAAATCTTATGCACCGCCAAAATAAAGAATAAAAAAAAAAAAAGTATCACTACTGGTGATGTCGCGAACCGTCCACGAACTTGCCATGAACTTGGCGCTCGGTCCTGACACATCCCTGCAATCTCCGGCAGACCCTCCCTCCCAGACCCTCCCACCTCCTGGACAGCATCCATGTTGAAGCTGCCTTCAACATGGATGCTGTCCAGGAAGTAGGAGGGTCTAGGAGGGAGGGTCTGCCGGAGATTGGCAGGCATGTGTCAGCTGACCGGAGTTCGCCGCGAACGGTTCGTGGCGAACCGCGGCGAACCGTTCGCGGACGGTTCGCGACATCACTAATCACTACACCCCTTTTCCTTTAAAGGAAAACTAAAGCGATAGGACTACAAACTCAATGTCCCTGTCCTCAGTTTAATATATATATATGTCCCCCTATATGTGCTGGCGACAGACGTGATCATTTTCTGCTGGCAGAGCACCTTCAAGAAGAAGATTGCTTCACTATCACTCTTTCTCACCCTCTCTGTGCTCCCTCCCAACTCCCTCCATTTCCCACAGTATATATATTTACATTTTTTTTTTACTTTAAATGTATTTATTTTTTTTAAACCCCTTCCTGGAAAAAAAAACCTTCCTGGAGCGAGTGCATGCACTCTGAGCCAGCGCTCTATAAGAAGCCTAATATTGGATCGCGCAAGGCCCCTGTTACATCAGAGGGGCGTGAAAGTCAGCGCTGAAGGCACTGTATTCCAGGTTATTACAATTCTTTTATTTGCATGGGTATATTGCAAATAAAGGAGGGGCTTATCCATAGTGCCCAATAGGGCATATTACAAAGGAAAGATCCCCTCTAACATACACTTTTTTGCATGGAATTATTTTCTGTGTACATTATTAACCTTTACTGTTTTTTATGTTAGTGTAATTATATTTGCAATTTTGTTTTGTTTGCCAGTTAAAGAGCAAATAGAAAAAAAAACAAAGACAGAATGTCAACTGTTGCAAATATTTTTTTAAAGCAATTTATATTTGCAGTTATTTATTTTTTTCTAAATCAAGCTTGGTTAAAATATATATTTCTTAGCACTTGTAGTAAACTAAAAAAAAACTGATGGACCAAAGCTATAAGAGGAAAAACAATCCATTATGTACCAAATAGCACTGACATTTATCAAACTATAAAAATACATTTTTCTATAATTTTCAAAATACTCCAAAAATGTTCATCAAATAATATTTAGAACTTACCACGCAGAACTCAATTCGCTTTATTTTCAGAATATTTCAAATCCGTCCTTGGTTTAGTTTCAGCGACTGTAATCTGTTCCTCTAAATAGAGGACTTTTTTTCCAAAAGTTTAATTAAAAAAAAAAACCACACACAAAATAACTTTAAAAATGTCAAATACTATATAAAAAGATATATATCCTATCTGAAGTCCACTGCTGATGTGTTTGCAAAGACTGACTTGAAGCGAGTTGTAAAGTTGAAAGCATGGAGACTATTACACTAAGCTTTTTAATAGGTTAATGACAGACTAACAGTAGCCTGTACAATACTCGCTGCATTGTGTGCTCTGTGCTTCTGTGTGGCTAAATGCCTAGACAGTGGGAGCTGACTAGATACTCCATGGATACCATCAGTAAAACAATGAAATGCAAATAGCTCTGCAAGTTTGTGTGCAAGTTTCATATGACATATTGCTTGAGGAAACACATTGAATTGGACTGCAATCAATACCATCAAATGACCACAGCAACATAGACTGACAATTAGTTTACATTAACAACAGATAAGAACTAGTCTGGCATATTTTGATCTACACCACAAGTTAACTGCATATTGGTAGATAATGCATAGATCAAATAATATTTGATTGGACTCCAGTTGGCTGACATCTCACTCCAATTAGCTCTTGGAGATGTCATTAGTCTAGGGGTTCACATACTTTTTCCACCTGCACTGTGAATGTTTACATGGTGTGTTCAATAAAAACATGGCAACATTTCATTCTTTGTGTGTTATTAGTTTAACCCCTTAAGGACCAAACTTCTGGAATAAAAGGGAATCATGACATGTCACACATGTCATGTGTCCTTAAGGGGTTAAGCAGACTGTGATTGTCTATTTTTGGGACTTAGATGATGATCAGATCACATTTTATGACCAATTTGTGCAGAAATCCATATCATTCCAAAGGGTTCACATACTTTTTCTTGCAACTGTATATTATTATACAGACGCCCATGGGTAGGAGGGGTAAGTGGAAGGAGAGAGATGAGAGATCTCTTCCCTTATTGTAGAGATCTTGTCAGGGAAGTAAGTTGCAAAGTTTGTGGCGGTTAAAGCGGTAGGAGGAGGAGGTGCAACAGGGCGAAGAAGAGAGTTAAAAGTGTGAAATAGTCGTTTGGGTTGTTGGGAGAGTGTGGTTATGAGGGTATTGAAGTAATTTACTTTTGCAGAGGAAGGAGCCAAGCTGTAAGTGCGCAGCATACATTTATAATGGAGAAAGTCAGATGCAGAGTGAGACTTTCTCCAGCAGCGTTCAGCAGTTCTGCAGCATTTTTGGAGGTATTGAGTCAGCTTGGTGTGCCAAGGTTGTAGTTGCGGGCGCTTGCTGCATTTGAGTGTAGGAGGTGCCATGATGTCTATTTGAGAGAAGAGGGTGGAATTGTAGAAGGAGATTGCAGAGCTAGGGCAGGTTAGGTTTGGGAAAGGTAAAAGGAGAGTTTGGAAATTAGTGGAGAAATGTTCTAGATCAAGACATTGGAGTTTTCTGTTATATTGATTTGCCAAGGGTGGTGTGAGGCCAATGGAGGAGGTTAAATGAATGGGTTTAAATAGGCAGACAGTGTGAACTGCAAAGTAAGTAAAGGATAGGGCAGAGGCAGGGGAGATTGGTTGAAAGGTACATAGGGGGGAGAGAAGGATGCCTAAACCACCTCATTTACATTTATCTAATCTACATATATCCAGTAGGATCTTGGGAAAAGTCTGCCTTGGGCACAATAATTCAGAGAAACCATGTTTTCACAGTTCTTCAAAAATGCCCAGCTTGACATTTAAATGAGCACAGACAGACACCATGTTTCAGACTTCATGTAGCATTTCTCCAGGCACTAGATATAGGATTAACTTTCACAATTACTGTACCAAAGTTGGATATTTCCTAAGGTCCCACTTGAGATACAGAGATAATCTACAATAGTAGATTTTGACTGTGTATATGTATATACTGAAGATATTTCCAATAAAGTAATATCTGTGACAATGGAATACAAGAAGGAAGAAAACAGGAAGAGGGGGACAAGACTATAAAAACCATACACATATCTCTGTGTACTCATCGGAATAGCCTCCTTATCATATGGCATATATATATGTGATACCTTGCCTTTGCTTTGACCTATGGTTGGGGATTAATACTATGTCCTTTCTTTTTTCTGTTACACGATCACAGTCAGGGCCGGCGCGTCCATAAGGCGGCACAGGCGGCCGCCTTAGGGCGCACGGGCTCTGGGGGCGCAATATTTCAGTGACCGGCAGGAGGGAAGCTCTCCCTCCTGCCAGGCCACCATCTCGACCCCCGGCGCAGCGCGCGGCAGTGCTGTGATCAGGCGCGCGAGGGAGCTCTAATCTCCACCCTCTGCTCCCTCGCGCGCTGCCTACTGATGCCGCGGGAGCCGGAATATGACGTCATCAGTAGGCAGCCCGCGAGGGAGCAGAGGATGGAGATTAGAGCTCCCTCGCGCGCCTGATCACAGCACTGCCGCGCGCCTCTCAGCAGCCCCAGCCCTCAGGGACCGATCCAGCATCCACACCAGCTCTCCAGGTAGGGAGGCTGGGTGGAAAATGTTTATTTATAAAATTATTAGTGAATGTATGTGATGTGTGTCTGTGTGTGTGTGTCTGTGAGTGACAGTGTGTTTGTCTGTGTGTGTGTCTGTGAGTGACAGTGTGTGTGTCTGTGAGTGACTAAGTATGTGTGTCTGTGAGTGACAGTGTGTGTGTCTGTGAGTGACTGAGCGTGTGTCTGTGTGTGTCTGTGAGTGACAGTGTGTGTGTCCATGAATGACTGTGTGCGTCTCTGTGTGTGTCTGTGAGTGACAGCGTGTGTGTCTGTGAGTGACAGTGTGTGTGTCCATGAATGACTGTGTGCGTCTCTGTGTGTGTCTGTGAGTGACAGCGTGTGTCTGTGAGTGACAGTGTGTGTGTCCATGAATGACTGTGTGCGTCTCTGTGTGTGTCTGTGAGTGACAGCGTGTGTCTGTGAGTGACAGTGTGTGTGTGTGATTGTATGAGTGTGTGTGCATGTGTGTGTCTGAGTGACTGAGCGTGTGTCTGTGAGTGACAGTGTGTGTGTGTGTGTGAGTGATTGTATGAGTGTGTGTGTCTAAGTGACTGAGCGTGTGTCTGTGAGTGACGGTGTGTGTCTGTGAGTGACAAGCATGTGTGTCTGTGAGTGACAGCATGTGTGTCTGTGAGTGACAGCATGTGTGTCTGAGTGAGTGTGTGTGTGTGAGTGAGTGATTGTATGAGTGTGTGTGTCTGAGTGACTGAGCGTGTGTCTGTGAGTGACAGTGTGTGTGTGTGTGTGTGTGTCTGTGAGTGACTGTGTGCTTCGGTGTGTGTCTGTGAGTGACAGTGTGTGTTTGTGTGAGTGACTGTCTGTGTGTCTGTGAGTGATTGTATGAGTGTGTGTGCATGTGAGTGTATGAGTGTGTCTGTCAGTGTATGATGAGTGTGTTTGTCAGTGTATGAGTGTGTGTCTGTCAAATCAGTGAGAGTATGTTTGTCATTGAGTCTGTGTGTGACTATCAGTGTGTCTGTCAATGAGTGTCAATCAGTGTGGGTCTGTCAGTGTCAATGAATGAGTGTGTGTCAGATCAATGAGTCTGTGTCTGTCAGTGACGTCTGTGTGTTTGTCATTGAGTGTGTGACTGTCAGTGTGTACAGAGTGTAGTGGAGCAGAGCGCGGTACAGGAGCTTCTGTTTCCTGTACCTGGCCAGACTGACAGGAGGTGCTCACAGAGAGAGCACTCCCTGTCAGTCCGTCCGGGTACAGAAAACTGAAGCTCCTTTAGGGGATCTGCTCCGCTCGGCAATGCAACAATAGAGGTAGGAGGCACACACCAAGAAGTGTGACCACTAAAGGGGTGGGGGGTGCACCAAGGGACAGGGAGGGAATGGGAGAGAAACACCAAGAGACAGGGAAAAAAGGGGGGAGGGGAGAAGAACACTAAGGGACAGGGAACGGAAGGGACCACTAATGGTCGGGGAGGGGAGAGGGGCTGGTTAAGAGGCACATAGGTGAAGATTTTGGGGTGGGGGGCGGAAAAATGCATCTTCGCCTATGTACCTAAAAATCCAAGCACCGGCCCTGATCACAGTACAGCATGCTATGGACATGTGAATATTAGGGCCTATTGTTGGTTGCTGTTGATGAATTATCCTCACTGTGTACGCTACTGTCTATGCACCCATGTCTCTGTCTCTTTCCCATTGTGTATTGTTTTGTTTTTTTGACCTATATTTTTTTCATTTCTGTTTATGTCTGACTGATCTCTTATGGTAATAAATAAAGAAATAAAGATTGTAAAAAAAACCCAAAAAACAACAACACGTAACATAACACAATCACTGACAAATGTATAAACACTTTCTGTATTTTTTTCACTTTAGTTATTTTGTAAACCTGACCACACTAAACTCTGGAAATCTTTTTTTTTCTTTCATGGAATCCCTACAACTGTTTATTGCTAATGCACCTAGCAACCTATGTTCCCTTTTGAATACACCGTGCTTTAATCTTCCATTTAATTATACCTCACTCTCTTCAAAGTGCAAACTCAGGTAAGTAGGACCCTCAGCACCTTCAACAATGCTAAACGTGTTCTGCCACAATTACTTTTAGTCTAGTTTACCTTTTGTACAGGGATGCAGAATGTGTAATTGATTTATTAGTGCAATTACTGACAATGCTGTTGCACAGAGCCTTACAATGGGGATCTTTATAAATTCCCATTAAATACATCTTTCAAAGTTCAAAGCAATTCTACAATGAAATAAAAATCAAGATTAACTTTTAGAAGTAGTTCAGTGGCATTGTCTGATATAAACACACTGGTTTCACAGCTTAATTATAGATTCAGTGAAGCATTGCATGAGATCTTTATACTCCGAGTGACTTCCTGAAACTCTGCTTTCAACATGTTCAGACAGGTTAGTGGGAGCTATTGGTTGTGTAAGGAAAGAATCCAGTGTTATCGTTAGCACAGTGGAAGCCAGCAGTTTCTATGCTGGTCGCCTAAACAATCACTACAAAAGGGCAAGTAGGTCTTTTTGTTTTCTGTTATTTGTTAAAGGAACACTTTAGCGTTACGCTTATTTGTAATGTTACAGTGTTCATTGTTTTCTTTGGATTCAGGGTCCCCATTTTAAAATAAAAAATGCAAAATGTAAAAATCTCTTACAGAAGAAGCATTAGGGAGATAGGGTGCACATTGTGCCATGAGCAAAGAGAAGCACTGAACTAAAATCTTCATTACGAGAAGCATTGACTGCAATCAGAGGCTGAACATGAAGAAATAGTTAGAAGTGAATCTAATGGCTGTCTGTCTGGTTTTACACGCAGAATGTAAACATTGCTGTTTTACATTGTCCGAAAAATATTAAAGCATCTATACAACTAAACCACTACATTAATCTGATTTTAGCACTCGGTCTGGAATTAATAGAACCCATCCATTTAAGCCAGTTTAGGCCGAAGCCCATAATCCGAATGGTTGCGAATAGCAGCGACCAGTCCACCCTGTCGAATGCATTTTCAACTTCAATGGACAGTAACAGGCTCTGGGTACTGTTTTGGTTGGAGAAGTGGATCAAATTAAGTAATTTTGTGGTATTGTTTTTGGCTTCTCTTTCAGGTACAAAGCCCGCCTGGTCAGGTTGGACTAGTTCCTGGAGGAGGGGTCTCAAGCGATTGGCCAGCATTTAGGTGAATATCCTCAGGTCGACATTTATAAGTGAGACTGGGCGATAGTTTGTTGGGTCTTTGCCCGATTTAGGTATAATAGTGATATGTGCTTCTAAGGCCGAGTCTGGCAGTGTAGCTGATTTGGCTAGGTTAAAAGCGGTTATAAAAGTATTAGAGAGGGTTTTAGAGAACGTCTTAAAGTACTTGCCCAGGTGAAGATCTATGACTGCCATTTTAAATTCCACCTGAGGATTGGAGCATCAAATGTCTGTATGGCGTTTTTGAGTATGGTGTTTTTAACCCGTGTAGATAGAAATTCTTCTATTTCAGATTATGATGGGACTTTGTTGCGCACGTTTTATAACTGGGAGTAGAATTCATGGAAAGCTGTTAATATGTCAGGGAGTAAATGGGAAGACTCCCCCTTGGATTTGTTAACGTTTGCAACAATGCTTGATTGTTTTCGTTTTGTAAAGATTTTGCTAGCAAACTGCCACATTTACCTCCTTAAAAAAATAATAGGAGTGTTTGGTCAATAGAAGCCTGCGTTCGGTTTGGGCCTGAAGACGTTGTAAACGTTCCGTCCTTTTTCCTATCAGTTGTTTGTATAGGTTTAGGGTCATATTCTGTTAATCTAGGGTTTCTAGCTGTCTGATGTCATCAGTAAGCGAGGTCATTTTGTGTTGTTATTGTTTTTCCAGTTTAGATGCCAGGACGATCATCTGGCCTCATAGCACACATTTATGTGCTTCCCAGGTAATGGTGGGGGATACAGATGGATTAACCCCTTAAGGACCAAACTTCTGGAATAAAAGGAAATCATGACATGTCACACGTCATGTGTCCTTAAGGGGTTAAAATAGTGTTGTAGGGATTCCCTAATAGAGTATAATATGTTTGGGTTGTTTAAAAACATATCGTTCAATTTCCATAGGAAAGATTTTAGTGGGAGTGTAGGAAGTTGAATGGCAAGAGACATAGAAACGGCTATGTTTTAATTATAACAGCTTTTTGCGGGGGCATTAGCCTTAACTGGTTAAACACTATTAGTGGACCTTTTGTGTCATATCAGGACCTGTGCCCCTGCAGGTCACTCTGACTTATAGGAGGCTAGGGAAAGATGTGAAGAAGTGTGGGTTATAGGAAGAGGAGAGGGACATAGCATTTAAGGCCCGTTAGTGGGTAGCAAGTAAGGTATGGTTACGGTGATAGTAATAAGTGTAGTGGAGAGTGCACGGTAATGCATAGGTAGGAGTAGTGAGGGTCTGTGAAAGAGCTTGGAAAGTAAAATTCTTACTGTCCCTTGACAGGAGTTTCTTGATGAGCATCTGGGTAGCAAATGCAACGATTTGTATTTACTTTTGTATCACACAGTCATGTTACAATGCTGCTGCCCACCCAATTTGTTGCCTATTAAGTATGTCTCTGTCTCATTAGGGATTTTTTTCACCTGAAGCATGGCGAATTGTCTGATCACATAAAAGAGCAACTGTAGCTGATGATACTAAGATATGTAACAGGGTTGATGTTCCAGGAGGGATAAGCCAAATGGCAAATGATTTAGGTAAAATAGAAAAATGGTCAGAGCTGTGGCAACTGACATTTAATCCCTTAAGGACAGCGAGCGTTCTATGCTGTCCTTCTTAGGGTGGCTCTAAACGCCGTCCTTATTACTTACCCGATCGCCGTCATTCAACTGCCGGTGATTGGCATTCTTCCCGGTCTGGGGGGGGACTACCCGGCAGCCCCCCCTTGGAAAATTAGGCCCCCGCGGGCCATGTGATACGAATAGGTGCATTTTATTGCAGTAAAAACTAACAGTATTATGACATTCACAGTTAGAAAATGCCACGCAGAACTAAAAAATTTTTAAGAACATCTTAATTTCTCACACTTTTTTAGATTTCATTCATAATTAATTATGTTTCATATCTGAAAAGTTATTGTGAAATGAAAGGCCAGTTTCCCCTGAACAAAATGATATATAATACCGTATATACTCGTGTATAAGTCGATCTCATGTATAAGTCGAGTGCAGTTTTGTGACCAACAATTGTGAAATATGCTATGCCTCGTGGATAAGTCGAGGGTAAAACTTGGGGCTATGAAATTCTGTGATTTTTATAATTATATACACACACACTCATACAAACACACACTCTGCATTATATACACACACACACACTTATACAAACACACACTCTGCATTATATACACACACTCTATGTATATAATGCAGAGTGTGTATATAATGCAGAGTGTGTGTTTGTGTAGTGTGTGTGAACTGGGTGGGGGGAGGGCATATTTATTATTTAAAAAAATATATATTTTAATATTATTTTTTTATTTTAATTTTTTTTTTGTCCCCCCTCCCTGCTTGTTAACTGGTCAGGGAGGGGGGCTATCTTAATCCCTGGTGGTCCAGTGGCATGGGCTGTGAAGTGGGGGGGCCGGCAGGAAGCATTTACTTACCTTTCCTGCAGCTCCTGTCAGCTCCCTTCTCCTCCGTTCCGGTCAGCTCCACTGTAAGTCTCACGGTCTGGTTGCCGCGCGGATCGTTGCCATGGCTCTGACGGCCGCGGCTCTCTAAGTTGCTATAATACAGACAGTGACTCGAGTATAAGTCGAGTGGGGGTTTTTAAGCACAAAAAATGTGCTGAAAAACTAGACTTATACTCGAGTATATACTGTAAGTGTGGGTGCATTTAATATGATGAAAGAGGTGAATTATGGTTGGACAGACATATAGCGCAAATTCCAGTTTTTGTTTACGTTTTATTTTGATCACAACGTGTACAACTGGCTCAGTCCTTAATGAAATAAAGATAACCTGGTCCAATGTTTACCTTTTAGGACAATAATAGAACTCAGGTGCTTCAACCAGATGTGGGATATTTGTCCCTCCTATTGGAAAATTACACTCAATCACACTGATATTTAGGTATGTTACATTCTTTAATGTGAAGTTATATATGTACACTACACACAAACCAAGCGCTAAAATTGTGATCTTTTTTGTTCTCCAGGTATAAGAGGAGACTCTTTTCATAGCATTAAAGTATGCTTGATATCTTCAACAGCAAGGGTCCATATTGAGCAAGTACACTTTCTTAACAATTAGTTTTTTAAATTTAGATTCTGTGCAATTTGTTTTTGCACAGTTTGCTATTCAATGGCTGACAGTGTTCAGCTGATACATTCAGCCAATGAACGGAAACTGGATTGGCTTCCGCAGCTTTGCATTAGCTCATAGGCAGAGAAGATAGGAGCCTTGGAGTCTGGCGAGTACCCAGATAAGAGGGCAAACTGTTGCTAGATGGTTTGCCCCATTACCATGAATTCAGGCCAGGGTACTCCTGGCACCATAACTACAACAGTTGTGATTATAATGCTTGAAGTAACCCTTTAGGTAAAGTTAAATTGATTAGAGACCAAAAATGAGACATTGCTCAGAACACTTTGATATAGCTACCCAATTAGCAATATTTGACGCCCCTAAAATAATTAAAGGGAGGATTTTTTTACAAAGTGGTCATACCCCTTTTGTGGCATTAGCAGTACAATTCCTAAGTAAACAATCATTTTGAGTCTCATTAGCAAAATGTGCTTAAATTTAGACAATTCTGTTGCTCTATAATCCAGCCAGTAATTGTATCTCAATGTCTTTACACAGTGAGGAAGGCTACTTTTCCTGTGATGTCCTGTTTTCCTGTTAAATAAAACACGATTACTACTACCCGTTTTGATTATTTTGCACTGGTTTTATACGTGACTGGGTACTAAACATACCAGATGAAAATTTCTTTGGGCAGAGTAACCTTGTCAGTTATAGTCCATTTGATTATTTGATACAATAATATTAAAAAGAGTTGGCGTTGGTTGGAGGAATTAACGCAGCTGCTGTCATGCGCCGTTCATTGGTTAGGAAGTTAAAGGTGGCACAAGCGTTGGCCTGTGAAAAAGAAAAGAAGAACACACTTAAGACATCTCATATTAATGTATATCTGAACAAAATGCGGATTATACTGGTACATAAGCATACACAGGAACTCTATGGGTTTTCCTTGAAAGAGACAGGAATGACAAAGGAGTTCTCTATTCTTAAAGGAACACTTTAGTGTTAGGAATGCAAAGATGTATTCCTAGCACTATAGTGTCCCTTTGGAACTGCCTCCCCTTCCTTGAAAGGGTTAAAAACCATTTAATTTACTAAACTGATTCCAGCATCCAAGGTCCCATGGGGGTAGGGGGACCTAATGCACGTCGAAAGTTGTGCACACATTAGGCCTTCCCCATAGGAATGCATTGAATCAATACTTTTATATGGGGCTTTGCTTGATGCTGGATGCTTTCCTGCAAAGTGTGAGGATGTCCAGCGTCGTTTCACGAAGCCAAACTCTATGAATCTGAAAGAATTGTCTCTAGTGGCTGTCTGGTAGACAACTACTAGAGATAGTCTTAGCAGTGCAATGTAGACATTGCAGTCTCTATAAAGCTGCAATGTTTTTTATTGCAGGGTTAAGGGGAACAGGGACACTGCACCTAGACTACTTAATTGAGATGAAGTGGTCTGGGTACCTATAGTTTATCCAACCCTTTTCATGTTTGCTACCATAATGCCCTTTTTTTTTAAAATTCTTTATTTTATTCGTGCACAGAGTAACAACAAGCTTGCAGGGCCACGACAGCAGCTGCAGGCATTTTCATTGCATTGCAAACTATGGCAGTTTAAACAGCACATTTTTTTTATAACATGAAAATGACAGGCTATGTGCCTTCAGTAGTTTGTAGTATACATGCTAGGCTAGATATTCGTATGACAATGTTATCTACGCTTAAGCTTATGACATGGTATGTAAAGTACATGTTGAGAAATAATAAAATTGACGTTAAGGGTAGGTTTAGACTGTAGTTAGGCATGACCTGTACATTGGCTAGTCTGTTAACGACACAAATAATGCAGGGATATAACGCTATCTATATATATAGGTTAGTGCAGTTAGATTATATAGGGACATTCAATCTAGGTCGCTTTAATAGAGTTAGGTCGCTTTAATTAAGTTGTCACCCTGGTTGATTGTGGTTGCTCAATCTGTCTCAGTGAGGAGGGCCGTCAACATGGAGGTCTCGGGTTCTCACGTGCAGGGGTAGTCCCATCTCCTTCCGATACCTGCTCTGTGTTTTGTGAGTAGCAGGGAGTGAGTGTCCGGGCAGACATCCGGACATAGGCCATCCCTGTTGTGCTGAGGATTGGTTTGAAATTGGTTTGAAATTGAGAGAAGGGATATTTCCCCTTATATTCAATCACACTCTGGTGAATTCACCTTTGATTGAGCCCATCTAATATGAGTCCCCTGTCATTGTCTACCACATTACTTCACCCATCCAAGCCAATACGCTAACTATTGGAAAGCGAGAGGCTTTTTCCACAATTCAGGAGCATAACTTGGCCGCATTGAGCAGATGTTTGGTTGACGATTTACTATAAATTGAGAGGGGCCGTTATGTCTGATGAAGAATCATCGGGAGAGGTTGTAAAGGGAGGTTAGTGTCTAGGATGTCTTTAATTGTATCGTTTACAGCCTTCCAAAAAGTTGCCAACCTACCCGCAAGACCACCAGATGTGTAAATCAAAGCTCATTTCTTCCTCACATTTCCAACAAATCTCCATGATGTCAGGGAGCATACGGTGTTGTCTCTCAAGGGTTCAGTAACACCCAGTCAATAACTTGTAGAGATTTCAATAAGCCTACTGGAAACACTTGGTAAATTCAAATCTTAAATATTATGGATAAAGGAGAGATCTTGCTCTTCTTCCAACGCCAGAGCAACATTGATCTTTCTAAGGATATATTATTTTATTTAGGTATAAATAACTATCGGAGCAGAGTAAGGTCCTCCCAATTCAAAAAATGGGATTCTGAACTGGTTAAACTTTATTTCATCTAAAGAATGGTATTTGGTATCAAACATGTTTTTCAACACATACATTGCATTTCCATTTTGGAATGACACGATAAGCTTATATATAGAGGGTATTAAACCCCTATTAGTTTAAAAAAGATTTCCTTAAATAATTCTTACATTTGCTGGCAGCATCATTTAGAAAAGGATCATCTAGTACATATATGGTGGGAATGTTTTAAGCTTTATTCTCTTAAAAGTCATATTGACTGCTGTCGAGATAAATTATTTTCTTTCAACTCACTGTCATCATGTATGTTTTTATGGAATAGTGACTATCCTAATCGTAATAAAAGCTAGGATTATTTAATAGTCCATTTTTAATGGCAGTAAAGATCATCATTGCTTGTAACTGGAAATCTTCCGATGAAATTAACTGGACAACAGTCTGTAACCCAGGAACTTGTCGATATGGAACAAAGTTTATATGCCTTAAGAAGCAAAATGTAAAAATTTGAAGAGATGTGGCTCCTTTGGAAAAATTATGCTAACACCAACAAACTTCTGCTAACTTATATCGATCCCTATACATTCTATTCTTGTTACCATAGTTCCTATTTTTCTTTTCTTTCCTTGTAGTAGCCACCTGTTACATCTCCAGTGACCCACCATTTGTAAGTATGATTGTTGAATGAATGGTGGAGATTTTTTGTTTTTGTAAATAGAATAAAAAAATAAATGGTTTAATTTCGATTTGTTGTATAATATGTATGACCTAATATTAACTATGTAAAGGGACACTATAGTCACCAGAACAACTACAGCTTAATGTAGTTGTTCTGGTGAGTATAATAGCTCCGTTCAGGCATTTTCATGTAAACCCTGCCTTTTCAGAGAAAAGGTAGTGTTCACATTGCCCCTAGGGACACCTCCAAGTGGCCACTGGAGGGGCTTCCTGGCTCAGGGCTGCACAGTAGGCAGCCCTGCCGTTCAGTGTCCCCACGCACTGCATGGAAACGCTGAATTTTCCTCATAGAGATTTAATGCATCTCTATAAGGAGGTCCTGATTGGCCAAAACGGCATTTTGCTGTTGGGAAAGCATTGTATTGGCTAAAAATCAGGCCATTTTGATGATGTCACAAAGGGGCAGAGCCAGCGCCGGCAGACCCGCGCAGCACTAGAAATAAGGCGAGTTTTAAACTTTTATATGGGGAATAAGTGGGGGCAAGCAACCTAAATGGTGGGTTTAGCACTATAGGGTCAGGAATACATGTTTGTGTACCTGACCCTATAGTGATCCTTTAATATTCAATAAAGATTTATAATTAATAATAATAAAAAAAAAATGTTAAACAAGTTATACATGGGCCTTAAGAAAATCACATGAATTTACTTACAGAATCACATTGTTTATTTAGATTCTTACCGTGTCTTGCACTTCTACAGCTACCCCTTTCTGTCTCATGGTCTTGAGAATGTTTGGATCCAGTCTCTCTACTCTGTCTCCAGTGCCTATTACTAGGATTTCTGGAAAATAAACAAATGGATGATTAGAACTATCTAAAAAGTATCTTGATTTGGGTGGACAAAGATTTGCAACATCTAGGAATAAATCCGATAAATAAAAATACTAAAAATTGAGAATATACACACATGCACTGTTAAAAGCTCTACTATAAATAACATTTAAAGAAACACTTCAAGCAACAGTTTAACTTCTTAGTTAAGTACCATCGGTCGCAGCTCCCTGTTTTCCTGCAAACTTCCATTAATTATCCTAAGCCCTGCAATGTTGCTCTCAGCCACTGAATTAAGCCCTGCGCTGCAGCAGGCAGAGGTGGAGAGCAGCACCCAATGAGGTTAAATGCTGGGGATGGCTAAGGCACTCTTAGTATCATCCTGGAGTGTAATTTCTTAAATGGTGTGATGGCAACACAGTTGCAAAATTCTCCAATTTGGCTAATTACTCTGAAGTCAGGTGTTGCAACAAAAATGCGTTTACCTATGGGTTTCAGTTCACTGTTTGGCATTTGAAAAGACTTATGTTTTATTTACAATTTGTGATTTCCCTTATTCTTGTAAATGTCTCCATGGTAACAATGAGGAGACACAACAGATTCATGTGACTCCCAATCTTACTTGGGCTTGACCGAAGGTTACGCCACAAGGAGCAGCGATATTTCACTTCCTGTTGCCAGGACTCTGCCATTCCTACCAGCCAATTGGCTGGAATGAAATTTAAAAGGAGGGGAGGAAAAAACGGTGGCATTATCTGATTGAGGAAGCTTTTGGTGAAACACACTTTGGATGGAGAGGATTTATGCATTTTTTTTGTTTTTTTGTTGGATCTTTGTATTGTTAGAGTTTAATAAAGATTTTCTGAAGAATCTTCTTTTGAGGACACTTCAAGTTCTTGAGCTATTACAAGGAACCTCAGGCATAATTGACACCAAAGCGGTTTATACCATAAGTCATGTTTTATTTGGCTCCTAATAAAGTTTTATTACTCCAAATTATTATTTAACCAAGCTTAACATTCTGAATAATTGGTCTTTTATTCCTGTTTTATTTGGAAGCACTACAGAGCATTTAAGGGTAAACGTATGGGCTAGGAAAAAAAAAGTTATTTTCCAAGTACTAACGTTTCCCTTTAAATTCCGCCCCTACCGTCTCCTCCCCTCTCCGTGGTGCTGGAAGTGTTAAAAACCCTTCTGTCACTTACCTGATTCCAGCGCAGATGTACCTCAGCGCTGGGTCAGACACCACCTTTGCTGGCGTAAAGTTGGCGTGTTGGACCGAATGCGCATGCACCTCACGCGCATTAGGACTACCCCATAGAAAAGCATTGCTCAATGCTTTCCTACGGGGTTTTAGATGACGTTGAATGTCCTGAAGCATAGCATGAGGACCTCCAGCGTCAGTTAGGTGAAACCACCCAAAAGTGCCTCTAGTGGCTGTCTCGTAAAGGTGGAGTTAGCCCTACAATGTAATTATTGCATTTTCTGAATAACTGCATTAATTACAAGTGCAGGGTTAAGGAAGAAGGTAGTGTACCACCTTAAAGGTACAGAAGCAAATACAATAAAAACAATATTTTGAATGCTCTAATAAATGTGAGTGTGATGATTTGCAGTGTATTTCACATCTTAAAGCAATATTAAACTATTTTTTTGCTTTTTATTGTTTCTAGTTCTCATAAACCATTGTTACTCCCTTTACATAAAGGTGAGAGTGTTTATTAGATTCATTTTAACAGCACCCCACTTTGGTTTGCACCACAGGTATGTTACACATACCAGGTATGTCACTGTTTGGTGAGCCTTTGGTTTTGGACAAAACATACAGTTGTATGGAATCTATGGATTAAAAGTTTGAAGATTATTACCTATCTTGGGAACAATCATATGGAACAAAGCAAGGCTTTCCAAAGAGATATCCTTATAGGATCCAACCTGCAAACAGAATATAAAAACAGCAATTACTTTTCATTTGTAAGCACATCTTTGGAATATGGACAGTAATAAAAGGGTATCAGTGTCAATCTGACATTGATATTTATGATTGTTCGGTTAGGTTTCACACTTTCAATCTGCAAGGTAAATAGTAGGTAAAATCTCATTTTTTCCAGTTGTAGTGTCTTTCTGATTCCACTTTCAAAGCAGTAGTAGTGGAATTTTTACATGCCCTTGTGAATCATCTCAGCCCTGTCTGCCTACATGTCATAAACTTGCATCAGATACTACTTTTTTGATTACATGGTGGTATTCGTCATTACTGACATTCTAAAACAATGCTTTACAAAAAACTAAATTAATAAAATAGTAGCTATGTCACATACTGAAAACGGCAACGCATTATAATGGACAATAACAATGTATTAAGATTTTTACACAATTTGCAGATATTTGACATTTATCATATTCAGGAACTAAAGAGCATTGTTTGTTTGTATATTGTTTGGCTTCAATCCTAGGCCTGGAGAGTGTAAAGGACCCATAGTATACAAAAAGCTACTTTGTGTAGTCTGATTGGGGTAACACATAGAGCTGGAAGTTGTGTTACTCCCGAAAGCCCATGAGAAGTGTTAGTTAGTAAATTGTGTAAATAGTACAGTTATTTTCTGCAAGGAAATTCATTTTATTTACATTTTTACACCACTTAGTAAGTTAGATTCATATTGTGTTTTCTTTTTTTTTTTTTATATAAACAAATTCCTTTAGACGTCGAAGGTATTCCCACGTAATATCCTCTTATTCTTCAGAATGCAAGCTTTAAGTAACATACTCACATTCCACTGAAGTATTGCTTTAGGAATAACCACACAGGGTCCAATTACTCTGTCACCATTGATGATGAATCCCTGGCTGCTGAAACTATCGACAATCATAATATCGGGAGAGTCTCTCTCTAGACGTGTCACTGTGGTCCTCTGGTAAAGTTCATCATCAGACGGTGAAAGTCGGTGACAACGTGATGGCTGTCTGTAGAAGAAAGAACAACTACTTAAGAGACAGGACAACTTTAAGTATCACTAAAGAACCACTCTGGGCACCATAACAACTACAGTTTAATAAATAAGTAATGGTGTCTGGAAGTCCTGTGTTGGGTGCCATTTTAACATAAGCAGTAAAATTGTACTCCTGGCCCCTGGCATCAATATGGAAGCCTTTCATTGGGGTGCTGGTGATAGGTTGAGAGTCAGAGCCAAAACACCTTCACAGCAAAATACCTCACACTATATAAAACCTCCCATTCTTATTAACCTCAAAACAAAGAGATCAGAAAGTTTGATGAAAATACATTTTTTACTCAGAGGTTAAACTCATAAGAGCAATATAAGTATTATTAAATAAAACAGCAGTAAACAACGTTTGGCCCTCTTTAGCATGTAGCCAGTTCAGAGCCTGAATGGTAATGACTTGCTCTGGTAGTGAATATCTGAGATATTTTGAGTTGTTACTCATCAGCTCCTATAAAGCGTATATATATATGCACAATAAGGTCATTCTAAAACACTTGTCTTTTTATTTATAAGATTTCTGGCACGGTGTAACATTTCTTTTTGTCCCACTTTTGTAACCCGCACAAAGTTTTGTGAACCCCTGCAGATTCATTGCTGCCATCAATAGAATAATTATATTGAGCGCCTTCATCTGCTTTTGTTCACGTCCTATTTAATGTCAGCTAGGAAACTCACCTTGTGTGTGCTGCAAGAGCAGAAGCACACAATTTCCACCGCGGTAAAGAGGAGCGTAGCATAGGAAGGCCAAGAGTTGCTAAAGTAGCCATGACACTATTCAATCTCAATGAATCCTGCAAGAAAACGTAATTCATTTAATAGGTTGATATGTGACTCCTAAAGATCAAAACAGTGAAACAAAAAAATCTAAATCATGTAGCCCTATATATATATATATACACACACACACACACACACACACACACACACACACACACACACGACTTTTCACAGATATGTTGTTGTTTTTTTTGACAATCTTTATTTTTCATTTTAAATATATGTTAGAGAGCAAAGGTTCAGAACAACAATAATGAAGGAAGTTATTGCGATATTACATCACGAATGTCAGTAAACAAATATTCACAGTCAAACCATTAGAAAATATAATTAGAAACCAAGAGTGCTAGTTGAAACAAAATGATCAACTTCTATAGATGAGTAATTATACACTGCGATGTTGGGAGGAGCAGAAGTATAGCTAGTCTCACGTGAAGACCTACTGAATTACAGACCAGGCTGCCTGGTGTCATGTTGGCATTCTAGTGACGTGTTTTTATGCATTTACATTTCTATGGGTAGCTTTTATCTTTCACACAGTGTTTTAGCAGGTAGATAACTATGGCCTCAATTTAATTCTATTGGCCGAGAACTGTCAGTAAATATTTTATTGAGTTGGGCAGACTAGATGGGCTGAATGTTTCTTATCTGCCGTCATATTCTATGTTTATATGAACATCATAATATGTCTTTCTTAGCTAAACTGACCAGTTAAAAAGAGAAGCAGGTAAAGTTTTAGAAATGACCAGCTCACATCGACATATACATATACTTGTATACATGTTCAGAAAATCACTATGGAGCAGCAATAATTAAAATGTGCAATCCCTTGTCAATTTGCCATTTTATAGCTTATTAAATAAACCCCAGTGCACCTTTACATGTATATTTGGCTACAGTATTCAAGGAAGGATCTCCAACAGCATGCCAGCTTGCATTCTGAAGAATAAGAGGATATTACAGGGATTAAAACAAATGAAGCTTATTGAATCAGTTTTTGTGTATAGTTCAGGCACATGAAGTCTCTCTGTTTAATTCTCTGCCATTTAGAAGTTAAATCACTTTTGTTTCTGTTTATGCAGTCCTAGCCACACCTCCGCTGGATGTGATTCACACAGCCCACATGAAAAAATGGTTTCATTTTCAATCTGACATTACCTCCACCTCTATCAATTGAACTTTAACCCCATTAAGGACCAAACTTCTGGAATAAAAGGGAATCATGACATGTCACACGTCATGTGTCCTTAAGGTGCTAATCACACAAGGGAGGCTTCTGTAGGGTCTAGAAGGCTATTAACACAAAAGGAGATGATAAATTCTAAATTAAACAGAATGTGCAATAAAGAAAGTTTAAACATTATAGCTCTCTTTACAGGGAAGGTTTATGTGCAATTCACATCCATTAAAGTGTGACTCTGGCTACATAATCAAAGTGATTTAACTCCTAAATGACAGAGATTTGAGCAGTGAGACTGCAGGATCTGTACGCCAACACGGTTTCATTAAGCTAAAGTAGTTTTGGTGGCTATAGTGTCCTTTTAAGTTAAGTTTTGGATGCTAAAACTTTATTAATGTGATGCACAAATCCTGAATATGGTCCTTACAAGAAAAAAAAAGTAAACAAACAAAAGTAGTCCCTAATTTATATCGATTTACCTCTCACGATATCTATGATTCTGTTGGAATTTTCAAAGAAATTCCAACACAGTTAAAAATAACTTTTCAGAAAGATTATTTATTTATGAAAAGCTCAGAACTGAGACAGCTGCTTAAACAGGGGCTCATGGTATTACAGTACGATTGAAGGAATGCCAAGCACACATATACAGCTTTTCTCTGTGGGTGTCCAAATACAGCCAGAGAATATAGGGTGATGCTGTAATTCTAAACAAACTGTGCAGTGGAGGTGTATATATATATATATATATATATATATATATATATATATATTTTTTTTTTTCTTATTCCCCTGCACTGCTCACCCAGTAAGTCCCCCATAAGTGCTTCGTGAGTATCTGTCATGTTTAGAAAACAAACAGTTCCACTTTAACCCCTTAAGGACACATGACATGTGTGACATGTCATGATTCCCTTTTATTCCAGAAGTTTGGTCCTTAAGGGGTTAAAGGTGTGAACACTGTGTCAGGTCCTCTTTACCAAGTATAGTTCATCTTTAAAGTCCAGCGCTTGTCTCCCTCTGAGTAAAGATTATTCATGAACAGCAATTTTGGGGCAACGTTCTAAACGTGGAGCAATCACCATGGCAACCAAGAGAACATTTGTATTGCTTGCTGCACTTTTAAAAACTTCACTTTTATAAATGGTCTTTACCTAATGTACAAGGAATTCGCTGTTTTACTGACACAACTGACTGGAGGAGGTTACTATAACCTGATAATAACAAATGTACACATTAAAGGCATGTGTAGAAGGATTTAATACAGCATCAGTGCACAGAAATTAAAACGTTTATAAACCCACACACTAAATGTGTATGGCAGTATTAAACCTACCTAGTAAGGATCCGAACACAACTTAGTAACTATTAAAATGACATTTGTCCTTGCACACACAGCATGGCAGCCTGGAACTGACATTTATCATAGAGAAATCACAACTATCCATGAAGCTTCATTGGGCACGAATTGTAACTCACAGCGCCCTCCCGTGGACAGGAGGTGAAAGCCAGCTAGCAGTCATAGAGAAATCATGTTTTATCAAATAAACCTGCCTTAACAGAGGATTTGGCAATGCCCAGAATGTTTATTATGTTTAGAATTTGCAATAAAGGCAGTTTAAACATTGGATGACTCTTTACAGGAAATGTTTTATAAACAATACTTGGGCAAAAAAAAAGACCCCCACCAAATCCAATAAAGGGAGACCTAGCACAGGTCCCCCATGCCACCATAGTGGGGCATCTATTACAAAAATGAACTGGGGGGACATAGTGTCCCACCTCAGCCCCCACCCGTAACCTGCAAGTGGGGGCTATTCAACTAAACAGAGCACCTATTGTCTACCTCCTCCCTGGCTCCCACCTATGGGTGGCGTGTGGGGGCCATAAAATGACAAAAGGTGGGCATACTGTCTCCCTTCCGACCCGCCACCCATGAGTGGCAGGTAAGGTCCTTAAATTAGAAAAGGGAGGGTGACCTACTGTCCTACTACTGCCCCCCCTGTGAATGGCTGGTGGGGTCCCTAAGTAACAAGGGGGGGTTTACTGTCTCACAGCCCCCCAGCCACCACCCATTAGCGACAGGTAGGGGCTCTAAGTGACAATGGTGGGGACCTATTGTCGTGGTCCCAGCCCCAGGGTGGGGGCTAAATGTAAAATTAACAAACCCCCCCGCCCCTCCAGTCGCTTAGAAAACTAGGTTAGAAAGGAAGAAAAAAAAGAACAGATTCTGATAGAGGAAGAGAAGAGGAATCAATAGGAGAAAGTTAAGTTCGGCATGACAGTGCCACTTTAAGGTGGTATTTGGTACCCGCTTGTGTGGGTTTGAGATATTTCTCTTCGACACATTTATCTATAATTTGTAGTTGAAGCCTTGTTAGGAGTGGACCTAGAGAGTCAGCCTTTCCACCCACCACACCTGTATCCTTCTATATTATGATTTATTGTCCCTCCTGTCAGGACAGAAGATCCTTCTTCATACCACTGGGCAGCACATTTTACATGTCACCCATCAACAAGTGTCCAGGAAATCACTATGTAATAAGCAAACCCTGTTCTTGCCTCTTGTGCTAAAGCATAGTAAATCCCCAGATCTTCTTGGACTACAACTCCTATGATGTTCTGCCCACCCTACCCTCGTCACTTTCGGTGATGCTGCCGCACCAGAAATGATGAGAATCAGCTGGAGGGCAGGGTGAGCACACGGTAGCAAAAAGATATAGGGAGCACTGTGGGAAATTGATGCACACACTGCGCCTGCCCTAAAATCATCAGCTGGAGAACGGGGGACACAGCGCTTGTGCAAAGATGATCAGCTAGGGAACGGGCGCAGGGTGGGGGGAGATGTGGTGCTGCACTGGCACCCTATAGCCAAGCGATGTAGGGAAAAAACATAGCACAATCTGCACACGCTGCAGAAGACTGCCGTCGGCTCCCCACAGCTGAATCGCAGGATCGAGTAGAGAGACCTCACAGTGCAAATGTCCATCAGATATCCTCACCCGTTACTGCGCACATATTAGATGGGGGCATGCATGATATTGGGGGCTTTGTGATAAATGGTGGGCAGTGTATTAGATGTGTGCAACCCTAGTTTGACAACAAAATGTTTTTTCCAAAGATTGTAAAGCTATGGCATATTTGTTTGCTACAAATGCTTAGCCATCCAGACACTCACCAGGGATGTAAAAAAAGACTGCCCCAATCTTTCCGAACCCTTGTCTGTCAGTATTATTGCACCCCAGTATGAGGCAATTTCCCCAATCTATGTGTCACTGTAATCCCTGTCTTTATGTGCATTGTGTATGTATAGTACTCCCAATTAATTTTTATTTTTTATTTAATACTGTGTATGCATGGCTCCCACAATCTTTGTGTCTGTCTGCTGTATATGTCTCTTATGCCATTAACTTAAACCATTTTTTATTTATTCATTTTTTGTATTTGACAACTCTGACGAGCATGTTCTCCTATGGGATACGAGGCAGATGAAGAGGATGAAGAGGCCCATGCTTAATACTCATGTCCAGGGTGGAGTATTGATTTCAAAGTGGCATCTGACACGTGACAAGTTTCTTCTGCCTGCCTGGTTGCACAGGGATGTCGTGGACTGTGATCATCACTTAGTTCAAGAGTAGACAACCCAAATGTTGTGGACTACATCTCTCATAAAGCCATAATGCATGCTTTTGTGTACGAATGGAGACATGAAAGATGTATGCAGACAGTAGCAAGGATGGAAGTCTTGATGCCTGAAAAGTGTGGTTTGTGAATGGTCTGTAACAAGGGTTAAAGCCTTGATGTGGTGTTATTGCTTACATGTGTATTCATGTGCCAATTCAATCAATGTGAGTGACTGTAATACTTGACGACTGTATCGTCTAAACACTGCTTATACTGTGACCGTATCACCTAAACACTGCTTACACAATGACTGTGTGGTGTATTTAGCCCGGGAGTGGGACCGGTATATTTTGGATTTTTACAGCTCCAGAGGAAAGGACCAAACAGATTTGGGGAGTCCCTGCAGAAGAGACTATTGGATATTGAAGGGCTGTATTGTAAAGGAAGGTCTCATCAAAGCTTCATCCAGGCCCTAGTCAGGAGGATACAAGGCTTCCTAGGTGTATAGAGTGGCTCACTATATCTGATAATAGGCCACATGCACAGTTATTATGTATCTAATTAATGGACAACACACATTTTGGGAAATTTAAAAAAAAAAAGCAAATATGGTTTGTGACATTTTTTTATACAGCCACTTTAAAAAAGATTACAAATACTAACAATTTGGGATTCTACAGTAATTTGTCTGTGCACTGAAATATGTACCTGGAATTCAGTTAAACCTGTTCATTATTGTGGGACACTGGAGAGTAATCCTGGGATCATAGGACAACAACCCCAAATTAGGACTCTCCCAACCAATCCAGGACTGTTAGGAAATATGGCCTATGCTAATTTATGGTGCACATAGTTTGGCTTAAAACTGTGATGACTTTAAAGAGCAACTTATTACTCTGCTTATTGACATCTTCTTAAAGGGACACTAAAGGCACCCAGACCACTCACTTCATCTCATCGAAGTGGTGTGGGTGCAGTGTCCATGTCACCATAGCCCTGCAATTGTAATTATTGACCAATTGACTAATCCTCTATTGGCTGCCTACAAGAGCGCAACTAGAGGTGCTTTCAAGTCCAACTAAGTGAAATGACTCTGGACGTCCTCAAGCTTTGCATGAGAATCCATCCAGAATCTGAATTAATGCTTCCCTATAGGGTGCCTTACCAGAGTAAAAGCAGACTTCTTGATTCTCCATTAATTGGCTGACAGTGTCAGCTAAGCTACTTAGGCAATGAGTGAGGTCCTGTATAGGACCTTTGTAACTTGGTGAAGGCATCTGACTCTGCAGCACAGGCACCCAACGAGACACACATATGTTTTCCAACTGGTTTACAAGCAGTTCAAGAAGTTACAATTCGTGGAAGTGTGTTCTGGTCTACCTAATGTCAATTCTGGGCATAAACTGTATCAGTCATCAGCATATAGAGCAGGCCTGTCCAACCTGCGGCCCCCCGATATTGCTGAACTACAACTCCCATGAGTCTTTCAATGAAAGATAGCCAGGGAATCATGGGAGTTGTAGTTCAGCAACATCTGGGGGGCCGCAGGTTGGACAGCCCTGATATAGAGCTTCCTTTGCAAGCTGAGCAAAATAACAGATCATTTAAAAAAAGAAAAGAAATTTTTTTTATTTTTTTTTAATTAACAAAGCCAAACCTATTTCCACTCCCAGCTCAGATTGCTCACATGCACCATGTGCTCTGAGCCAGTGAAATGATCCATTTTGCAAAGCCTGTGATTGGACTGAACAAGCCCAATCCACAAGAAGGCATCAGTGCTGGACACACCAAGGAAAAATAAGTTTAGGTTATCTTCCCTTCTGCTACATGATAGCAAGGGAAAAGGGGGGGGGAGGGGGAGGGGGCAGGCAAAGAAAACAATTGACGGATTGCCTCCACGATATGCTAGCATACTAGTATGTTTGATCGGCATTCTTTATGTGAGGTGTCGGAGCACTTTTCTTCGATATATTTTCCCCAGCTCTACAATTGGATAATATAACTCCTGCTAACCAGTGAACAGAATTAAACAAAGCCCTGTGTTGAGCAAGATGTGTACATTTGATTAATGAGAGCAAACAATCACCTATTACTCTTGCAAGATATTTTAATCAGACATGTTAAGTATCAAATTGCATATAAAAATAATGAAAACAGGCACGAGTTTAAAGGGATGTATCAGATGAAAAGCTTCCTTCTCCCGTAAATAAATGGAACAAATTGAGCTGCAATTGCTAACACATATACAGGTTAGAAAAAAATAAATGTACAAACTACTCTATTTAATGGAATTTTTAACAAACCATGACTATTCTATTTAATGGAATTTTGGCTCTTTGCTCACACCTTTATCAGCCATTAATTTAACTAAGAGTGTCAAGTCCTGGTCTAAAGTTATCAAATTCCTAGTCAATGCCTGGGTGAGCAGCCCCTTTTTAGTTCAGTACAGATTGAATTTGAGAAGTTAATGACATTTGCCAGCAAGTAATCACGAGTAGGTGCGACTGATTGGAGCAGCTCTACTTTAGATGACATTATGCCTTTAAAGACATTTGACCTTATTAATACAACAATATTATTTTCACATTAATAGTGGTAAGGGTTCCTATTAGAAATTTTAATAAAAAGGGGGAAAAACACTTTTTGCTCTAAAATTTTATTCCAAACAAAAAACAAAAAAACCCACACCTTGCCTCATGCAATCTGCACAGTAGGGGTAGTGTTGTACAATTTTGAAAATTGTGTGTGTCTAATGTTCAGATGGCCATATCACATATCACAATCTGTGCTAAACCACGTAACATATCTTTAGAGCATCCCTAGTTAAAGCCGTGGCCTAATTAATCAATGGGGTCTATTGTTCAGACTCAGCATACAGTTTGATAAAAAGATATTTTAATTACAGTAAACCCCACCCCTCTTCATATATCTACCCGACATATGGGCCTAGAATGAAGGAAACCAAATGAGATGTTTCGGAGTTTTATTTCAAATCCCTGTACAGTACGTAATAGTAGCCTTTCATCTTATAGCCCCTGCAGTAGCCAGAATTCCCTTCAGTGAGGTCGAGCAAGTGCTGTATCAGAAACACTCGCTGTTGAAGGCATGCAGTGAAAGTAGTTGAGACATTCATGCGCTGTAGGTCGCAGCTGGCATCAGGTGAAGAAATTGTCACATTTTAATGTCATTAGAACAGTCTCTTCTCATACCTGGAACACAAAATAGAGATTGCTATAAACTGAGCAGACTCTTAAAATTGCAAGCGTACAGATGCAACTTACATTATGGAATACAACATCTTAAACAAATGCACTCCTTGTCCAACATAGCGCAAAGTTTAATGCTCACAGGGTCTGACATATCTGTACCAGGAAGAGCTTTTTTTAAAAACTTTTTTGTAAAAAACAATATGACAGAAAATCAGTGCACATAGCTTCCTAGCAACATATCAAAATCTGTCCCGGTCAGAAAAAATACTTACGAATGAAGTCCGTGCACTCCTCCTTCCACCTGTGCAGACATTGTTCTTTTCTCAAATTTAAGTTCACCAGAGTACATCATTGCTCTGAAAGAAAAGAAAAAAAAGAAAAGTTAATTTCTGTGACCTTTTTTTTTTTTTTTTTTTATAATAGGGTGCAATGTGATATGGTACTCGGAAACCATGTCTACTGTAATGTTTTCAAAGACATCAAGAGAAACCTTCTACTAATGGTGAAAACTAAAGATATGCTTGTATTTGTTGCACTATATAGTAAATCAGTGTTAAAAGGAAAAATTGCAAACCAATATCATCCAAATAAAATTCCAAAACAAAAATAATGTCCTAATTTCATCCGATAATGAATGAACATTCTTAAGAATCCATAGTAGTAAAAGAAAAAGTGTAGAAAATTAAATATATCTTTTGTAAATAAGTGACGGGGATACCGATATCATAGACGTGTTATGTTTCCATTTATGGCTTCTTCTTTTTTTTTATATATATATATATATATATATATGGTTTTTACAGATAGCAAAAGCTATGTAAGGTAAACAGATAAACTGAAAACTAACTTCCACATGATCAAGTGTGACTCTGTGCAACGTGGACAGTAATGAAATGCTGAAGCACGCAGCTAACTCACCCCTAGACTGGACAGATTTATATGATGGATCAGACTATAAAATTAGCCAAACCACTCAAAAAAAAAGCAAAAAAAAAAAAAAGAGAGCAGTAGTGGTTATGGTGCCCCCTTAAAGAGATAAGTTCTTGCTGAGAAGATGAATACGTGTAACTACATTGTAAGGACAGGATGGGTGAAAAGAAACATGCAAATCACCCTCCTTTTAAATGTACACTTACCGGACTTGTGTTAAGCTCTTTGCACCGATATCCTGGCAGGAGTGCTGGATTCCAGCAATTAAATATGGAACAAACTTGTGAATGGATCCCTTGTCTTGGACAGCCCCAGAGACACCCTGAGCCACTTTAATTTTATCAGCTTCACTAAAGAGGGGGGGAAAAAACAAACATGCAATAAGTACTTAATCCAACTTGTTATCCTACACTGCAAATGCACAGAGGTTATTGACAGGGCATAATTGTGGGTCAACATAACAGTGACCTGAGCTGAGAAAGTACCACTGAATACAGGACATATGGGGGTTCTGTGCAACTTTGACGTTTCATATGTAATTGCATGGGTTAATTACAATTATTTACATAGCAACATATTCTGCAGAGCTGTACAATAAGAAATAAGATAAACATTTCATTTTAACAAAACATGTATGACATATGGGAACAGTAGAGGGCCCTGACCAGACAAGCTCACAATCTAAAGAACTACTATAGGTGCCCACTGGATTCAATGCTTTCCTGTGGGATGAATTTGACAGGACAAGCTCGGTGTTTGCTGTGCATATGCTTCTCATCTCAATGCTTCTCTATGAGAAGCATTGGATTGGACGAGCAGACAACCTCCAGGAATACAGCACAGAAGGTTGACCTGGGCACCTGTTTAACTTTCTACAAAGAGACAAGCAATCTGAAAGAAAGCTTCTGTCAGAGACACGTCAGTAAGAGCTTGAAAGAAATGTAAAGCTCAAGGTTTGACAAGTCTACAAACGATAAGCTGGGAGTCCCTTTCTCTCAATCCATTCCCTCAGTCAATCTGAGTTTTTCATAAAGATTTTATTTTTTTTGAAAGGGAATGACACACAGATGGGACCAGATTTAGATGCAGTATACACCATCGGTTGGAGCTGAGCAGTTGCCCCTTTCGAGTGTGGTTATTGAAGTGAGTTACTGAACCATAACATTTCTGACTGCACCGCATATTTTCAGTACAAGCTTGAAATGTTGGTTAGGTTGCGATTTCACAATTATGCAATTAACATTCCCTTACTTTTAAAAACGACTTCTTGAACATGAATTAGTCTATTGTGACTCAAAGTGCGCTCTCACCTGAAGTATCGCTTCTGGCTGCTTGAGTTTTTGTCCATGGCATCCAGCGATCCCATGCCACGATACTTCTTTAGCCGTATGCCATCAGAGAAGAAGTATTCACCAGGGGCCTCACTGGTGGCAGCTAACAGTGACCCCATCATGACTACAATCGAGAAACCACAAAGTGTTACTGATCACTTACAGGGAATTAGAGTCCAAGGTATACAGTTCAAGTCAACCATGACACAGGATATGTTAAAGAAGGGTCTAAATTGTGTGCTTCTCTTTTGAGTTACAAAGACAGTAATATAGCTAAACTTGTAAAATTGGCTGTTTTACTCAAATATTGTGTTTTCACTAGTGCCGGAATGCATATTATGAGCAAATGCAAGAAGTGTATAATAGAACATCTCCAGTAATTTTTTATTTGCTAAATTTTGCATTGGATATCTACAAGGTCCATTAACAGCGGACTTCGTCTTACTGATGCAATAACTAGCCCATGTTTTATTTTATAATCCTCCTGATGATATGCCTGTTACAAACACTCTACAACGGAGTTTCTGGAACCCCGACTCAGAACTCCCCCTACCTTGTATTACTATCTACCTATGTAGAAAAACTATTTGGTAAGGCAATGCTCGCACGAACTGTATGTTATGTTAAATAAGCCACCAGTTACAATGTGTCACCTATCAACCCACAAAATCATGATTGTAATATATATTTTCGAATAAAAAACCAAAAACCCATCAATAACCTCTGGATTGTATAACAAATTAGATTTGCAAGAAATAGGAAAGGTTTTCACTGTGAATATTGTAAACTAATAAAAATTACCTGTAGATGCTCCAAGGGATAGAGCCTTAGCAATGTGCCCAACAGACTGAATACCGCCATCTGCTATTACAGGTACGCCGAACCTCCTTGCATACTCAGAAACTTTGTATACTGCTGTGGCCTGAGGCCTACCGCACGCCAGCACTGTATCAAGGACACACACAAAAAGACATGTGATATTAGCTTCATTGCAAAGGTGGGGCCTTTATGATATTCAAAATACAAAGATAGATTACATTCATTCAGAGGTCTCTGCCTATATGTTTATGTAAGGGTTTTAATGTGTATATATATTAAAGAAATCTATTCTTGGGTAAAGACAAAGCACAAAGTAAGCAGCACGTGTCATGCAGACAGCTTTACATCCGTAATTTTAAAACATATAGTGGTTTTAGGAATGACCGTCCTATCATTTAAAACTCAAGAAGCATTCAGTGAATTACAAGGTTCCAAAACAACTTGTCAAAGCTGGGTCCACATGGTCACATGCCTGCCAGATCATCTTTTTCCGTCACCTGTTTCTAGCTAAGAATCCAGGACTGCGGAAGAGGAAAGAAAGAAGAAAAACCTAACTATTGCAGCTGATCTACCATTATGAATTGAGGTTTTATACACTACACTGGGAACTGTGTAGAATTGACAAAGGAAACACCAAGTTGGGGCCTAATTGTTGAATTAGAAAAGTTTTACATTGGAATAAAGTGGAGAAGGAGTAGAGAGTGTCAGGTCGCTGGATTAGAACTGTGGGGTAACCCCTAATAATAAATAAAGCCAAGAAAAGAGTACTAATGGTCTAAGTGGGGGGCGAGAAAGAAAGATATCTTATACAAGCCTCCCCAACAGGTACTGGTACAATAGCAGCAAACCTAGGTTAAAATATAACTTAATAAAAAAAAAATAATAATAGCAAAGCGTGTAATTAAATAGTACTTGAGGCTGAGAGGTATAAAATCACAGAACAAATTATAAGAATAGCCTTATTTGCCCTTGTCTGATGGCTAAGGGGTATAGAGGGTATGAATAAGAGGACCATGTCTATGGTAATCTCAGTAGTCCCAAACATATAACCCCCTAACTCCCATCTCTATTAGCCACCTAATTGGCAAAATATCTTATCCTCTCAGCGATAAAACGGCAGCTGAACTGTCAACCGGCTACCTAGTAATACATCGTAAAATCATCAAAGCTGGGTGGTAAACTGGAGTAAATAAAGTATCATTTCAACTGCAGTCTAGTCCCCTGTCAACCTCCATCACCCTCTAGCTAGTTAACGTCCCTTTTTTAATTACATGCTTTGCTATTATTTTAACCAATTTATTAAAAGTTATATTTTAACTTTATATGTATCACCTAGGGTTGCTGCTATTGTACAAGTACCTTTTGGGGAGGCTTGTATAAGATATCTTTCTTTCTCCCCCCATCTTGGACCACTGTTTTCCAGCTTTGCTCTTTTGGCGTGGAATGCACAGTTCCCTTTTTCAATTCTACATAGAACCTGGATTACGGAATAAACCCTTAAGCCTTTTAAGAGCTTCATTAAGAATAAAACTGAGCTCCGCGGCATACACGACTAGTCTTACATGCAGAGGTGGACCTCTAATTAGGACAGTAGGGTGGCTGCCTTAATTTGCCCTATGCAAACTAACCCGTTGGAGGAGGCTGGTAGCTTGTCCAGTGTGCTGTCGGGCACAAGGCTGCTTCATTCAGTTAGCTCAGGGGGAGAGTCTATCAACCTCTGGTCTGTTGCAGACTAGGAGTACCTAGTACTCAGGTTAATCAGACCATTGCTGCTGGTTATCGCAGTAATGCTCTAACACTTCAAATGCCAGAGCTTGCCAGACAACTACAACTATACAGTGTGGAACAGCTGAACAAAAAACAAAGCCTGCTCACACACTGTCAACCCCCAACACTCAGCTTTCATACATAGTCATCCCCTCTCTAGTCATTGCCTCACTCACTCTCCCACAGTCACTCCACTAACCTGTCACACTCACATTCTTCACCCTGCCACAGTTATCCTCCTTCTCATCTTATAACTGTCAGCCCTTGAAGACAGTCATCATCATACATACACACAGCCACACCATAAACACAATGCACCAAGAGAGACACACAACACACACCACAATCAGCTTCTCCACACAAATAATGTCACAGAAATTCACAAAGATACTCACTGTCAGACACATACACAGGTTGACAATGCCAGACACACACTCAGTCAGAAATACACATAGCCAGATACACATTGGAACTGTATGGTTGTATTTGTCATGGTGTGTGTGTCAGTGTGTATGCATGTGCGTATATGTGGACATGTGTCCATGGCTGCAAATCAAGGGTGATAGGGTATGGGCAATGTCATAATAAAGTGGCAACACATAACACCCTGTTACTAGCCAGGCCTTTAAAGTTAATTGTCACTGCATGCTTACCAGGTGTGAATGTCTACTCGCCAAGACTGAATTTTTATATGCCAATGGCTAGTGGCAAATGGCAATGTTAAGCTCTATGTGCGCACGCGCGCACACACACACACACACACACACACACACACACACACAGTATAGAATAATACATATGTGAAAGGCTTATACAATATGTGGGTGAAAATGTTTATGCCACTTGCATAACTGAAAATAGAATTCTCTCTAGTTACAGTATATGATCATACATTGATCATATACAAAAATAATGGGAATTCAGGTGTTTAAAAAGCGATTACATTTTGTGCATCAATTTTATATAAAATATTAAGCAGGCATAAACGTGTGTATTGTTTACATTCAGCTCCCTTGCTGCAGATTTAGTTGAGCAGCAAGTACATTAATCTATGATTCAAGGGGAATTATCAAACCTCACTTCTCTTGCCAAAAACTATTAGTCAGATGATGTCGCTGCATTGAATCCCCTGCACATCAGGTTACTAAGGATCTATATATTCCCACATCACCCCCCACCCTCTTTCAGTTTTGACTAAAGGAGACACAATTGTGCAGAGTCTACACACTCAATTTAATTGCTTTATCTAATCAAGAAATGAGGAAAAAAACTATAGGTATTTGGGTAGAAACGATCAACTAAAACTCACATAATAATCGTATTACTTAATGTTCCATTATACAAATGATGATGCTTTATTTAATTAACACAAAGAATGCATGTGGTAATAATTCCCCTTTACAGTAACATAATGCATACATGCAGGGTTAGTCACTCAAACACATGATCTCAGTGTGTACATTATAAACTCTGGAATCATGTGATAAAACACACTATAGCAGGGGTACCCAAAAGGTAGGCCCCCAGATGTTGTAAAACTACAGCTTCCATGATGCTTTGTCATTCTAAACCATTCAAAAGGCATGCAGAGCATCATGGGAGTTGTAGTTCTAAAACATCTGGGGATCTTCCATTTGGGAACCGATGTTTGACAGTTTTGAATGCTTTATGTTAAGAAACAGGCTCGTCTGAAAAACACACACATCAGTGAAGAAGTTCCATATATTACACCCCATCGCCCCACAAAAAAAATCCTTTAACATCAGAGCCACAGACATGTCAGTCAGTTAAGAGATGGTCTCCGTTAACCATTTCAGTGCCGCTAAGCAAAAATGAACGTGTTGAGAGATGTGTTATTGAAACAGCAGTTTTTACATGGTCATGTTTGCTATGGTAGCAGATTTGCATAGATCAAAAAAGGGACATTTGACATTGCAACTCCAAATTCAAATCACCGCTACAGTGAATGGAAATTAAGGTGGAGTTATAGGTTTTTATTCACAAAGCAAACTTGGGTAACAGAGGATAAACTTTCCTCTTGAATGATACATCTCACAAATCATGTATACACTGACATGCTCTGCACGCCAATGCCAAGCACTGTTAAAGTTACAGACTGCCTATAATATCTCACACCACACATGGATATCTAGCAAACAAAGCTGCGTGATTTATAATTAGCAGCCTCTCTGCCAAATTAAGCAGCCGGCGTTTTAGTCTGAATGTATTTATAGAGCTCTTACGAGACCAACCCTTTGTGCTGAATCCTGAGCTGTGGCAACAGATGGTTTGGGATATCCTATTCCATAGCATCAGGATCTCCCAAATCTATGTGCCAATGGATTAGAACAGTGCACACACTTCCCAAAAAAGCAGGGTTCACATCAAAATAATAAAAGAAAAATGAAATGGGAGAAAATGCAGTGATTATTCAGAGAAATTTAAAGACACAGAGGTGTTCCAGTTGCAGTATCTGCCGCTTATCTGCCACGTCAGGAAAATGCATTGGCCTTTCAACAACAACCATCGGTAGCCCGCCTCTCCTTGGCTGAGGGCAGAGAAAGGTAGCTTGAATCCTGCTAAAGGGTACATATTGGTGCGTTTGCATTTACTTTTAAAATTGGCCTGCATTTTTCTAATTTATTTTTTTGCTTCAGGCAACAAAAGTATCCCCGATATTTCTAATAAATATGGAAAAATGATATAAAATACTTACACAGGAGAACAGTGTGAGTGGCAGAACTTGAGAACAAACGTAATTAGAATATATTTATAATTTAGAACCCTGCTTTCACAATGACAAGTCACATTCCTACCCCACCACCCACCTTTTTACTAACCAGATTCCCAAAGCCGCAAAACCCCAAGTGCAAACTGCATCTAGCATATCAGTCATCAAGCAATAGGGAGTGCAGCAGAGGACCATGCGGCCTCTGGGCTCAGTCAGGGTTGGGCTTTGCAACTTACTATAAGTGCCTGTCACACTAGAAGGGCATTTGGGGCTGTGAGACTTTAGGTCTGGAGGTATCGTTGGTGCAGCTAAACAAAAAAACAAAATAAAACACATTCATTTGCAAGGGCTGAGCCCAGCACTACTTCCATGTAAGGAATATGGTATGGCAGCTACTAAATCCAGGCCACGGCCTACAGTTTGGTAAAATCCAGATTGATTAGCATTCAGTACTCCACAGAATATGCTGGCGCCAACTTGAGGACCACAAATCTCACTGGTCAAATGTTCTATAAGTGAAAGTTAATTTCCATGGTTATCTAACCATTTGGGTATACTTGGCAAGAGCAATAGGGTAGGTGGGATATACAAGTTATTTCATTCAACGCCTTAGGGGCCAAACTTCTGGAATAAAAGGGAATCATGACATGTCACACATGTCATGTGTCCTTAAGGGGTTAAAGGAGCACTATAGTGTCAGGAACACAAACGTGTATTCCTGACACAGCAGTTCTAAAACCACCATGTAGGTGATCGGCCCCCTTACCTACGGTGAGAAAGGTGAATTACTCACCTTTAACCAGCGCCGTGTGGGGCTCCTTGCATCTGGCCCCACCACTTTGGCTGAAATCATCAAAATTGATGATCTCAGTCAATCATAATGCTTTACCATAAAAAAGCCGAGATTGGCAGAGATTGTCAATTCTGAAGGTCTCAGCCAAACGCTGCCCTGGCCATTTCAGCATATCCGCACAGAGATACATTGAAGCAATGCATCTCTATGAGGAACGTTCAGTGTCTCCATGCAGGATGTGGTGATGCTGAACGTCAGCACTGACCCAGGGAGCCCCTCTAGTGGCCGTCTGAGGAATGCCTACAGGGAATGACCATACTCACCAGAACAACTCCATTGAGCTGTAGTTGTTCTGGTGACTATAGTGTCCCTTTAATTTCTAACTAAAGATATACTTATTTTTAAATGTATTAAAATAAAATATTTGTCTGAATGTATGGAGGAAGATAACATATGTAGTCTGCCTTCTAATCAACTACAGTAAGAGGACCAGAAATACGAGAAAACAGAGAAGGAAGCGGGGAGAAAAATATTATCCAATACAGAATAAATACATGGCATTACCTTCTTGTGTGATACAAATTGAGCCGCTTCCCATTCCCACTCTTAAGGCGTCTGCTCCAGCATCAATTAGATTCTTCGCTTGGGCAGCCGTCACCACTGGGATGGAGGGGAGGGGGAAGGAATAAAAGATATTTTAAAGAAAAATGAAAGTACTATCTCAGAGATTTAACTGGTTGCAGCAAAGCATGTGTTAACTTTATACCATGATTTTAACGGTTTTCATCGCAGAAAGCTTACTGGGTAGTGGGCATATAGATGCACAGTGAACATTACCATGCATTAACTACCTTTTCAGCATATAATGTTTCTACTGGTGGCTAAATGCTCTTACTAAAACCAACCAACACCAAAGGAAAGGCAATTCTACAAACAATTTAAATGGATTGCAATAGCCATAAAACCCCCAGCACAACATGACCATAACTCTTACAATAATGCAGCTGAGAAATGAAGGAAAAAAAAAAAATACACAAAAAAACCAAAACAAAATAAAAACATTAATGGTGAACTGTAAGATCCCCCTACAACCAAAATGGACCTGCAATGGATCCCTATGTAATTAATAAATATTCTCTTTTAGCACAGGTGCTTCCCATAAACCACTGGCTTGTGGTCAAGCATGTGTTCCCGACAATCAAGTTGATTCTGCACTCTCAGATTAGAATGTGTTTGTGTACAAGTTCTATTTATAATGGAAATTACTCCTCTAGACTCTCCAACAGTCTGGCATGTGATAAGCTAATATAAATGCACGTGAGACAACTGAGAACCATCAATTTGATATAAACAGGATGACTGTTCATTCTCTGCAATTTTTGGGCAAAGTTCTAGAATTCCAGCAACCGATTGGTTTCCTTGACAACTGCTACACATTCACAATTCTCCCCCAGAATTCCTTGTACTGGTTTTTAGTTGCCGTATGTTCGATCTACTTAAATATGAATTTAGACAGATAGCAGTTAAGTGTGTCGATACAGTATTGTAAATATACAGGTGTGGTTTTTTTTAGTACTTTACTACAAAGACAAATAAACATGTATATCTTTAAATTATTGACAACAAAACTAGTCAATTTTATATCAAGCAATATGTCAATATGTAATAGTTACCATTTCCAGCAATGACCTGCATGTCCGGGTATTTCTCCTTAATGTACTTTATCATATTTATCTGGAAAATTGAGTTTCCTTGCGAAGAATCCTGAAATGAGACGAAAAGAAAATAAGAAAATAAATCTATACTACACAATTTATTCTTAGCCCCAGGATGCAGAAATTGTGGCAGGAGATCAATCTATTCTCTAATTACAGGTTAATGCTATGTCCAGAACACATTGGCAAGTACAGAGAGATTTAACAAACAGCCAGGGAATCAAATACATTACAAAGTTCTTTATATTGTGTTATTAGAACGGCAAGGCAGTCCGAAAGGATCATCTGACGACAGGACTTGAGTGACCTTTCAGACTGCCCTGTAGTGAGTCCAGTCTAATATGCAATAGGTTTCCTCTGTAATCGCACAAGTGATCCAAAACCCATAAAGAAAAGTAATTAATGGTAGGGCAAGGTAGGCAAGCTTTAAGTCATGCTTTTTTTTGGCTAGTTTATGTCCTGAATTTTCCATCTGGTGCCCCTCTAGCACCAGCAGATAAATTGTATTCTCAGTATGCACATTAATACACAAGGAATTCTACTGTCTACCATTGAATAAAACATTTAAAATCACTGTGTTCTCTGTTCTATACGATACTCCATTTTCTTTTCAATTTAGCAAATGCCATCATAATGTAGATCAGACACGGGAAAGTCGGGGCAAACATTTCAAAGGAAGGAAACTACTAGAAACATTGTTTCATATATCCACTTCTCTGTATCTTGCCTCTATGATAACTGCCATGTGCAAAAGGCCGATAGTTAAATGGATTATATAATGCCAAAAAACAAAGCCATTTTCCTGGCACTATAGAAGCCTACAGTGCCCCCCTCCCTCGGCGCTGAAGGAGTTAAAACCCCTAACGCCCACGCCCCACCCCCGCTGATGGGGGAGAACTAATGCGCATGTGCGGCGATTGCCGCACTCACATTAGAATTTCCCCATAGAAAAAATTCATCTGACATTGAAGTCCTCGTGCAGAGTGTGAGGACGTCCAGTGTCAGATAACGGACCAAAGGTCCGTTTCAATTCAGGAAGTTCTGCTAGTAGCTGTTTGGTAGACAGCAACTAGAGGTGGATTTAACCTTCAGTGGTAATTATTGCAGTTTCTCAGAAACTACCATAATTACCACTGAAGGGTTAAGGGACATTGCACCCAGACCACTTCAATGAGCTGAAGTGGTCTGGGTGCCTACAGTGTACCTTTAAGATGGAGGCACCCAGTTGTAGGATAAAGGGGTGTGGCTTTCTACATTTGTCTTGTTTTTTTCTTAGCATTATCAAGCTATGAATTTACGTACAAGTAGATACATTGCCATGGAGTATGAACAAGTTGCACATTTTTGTTTTTTACTAAGCAGGCTAAGCAATACTTCACTGGACAAAAGATGTTATATCAACTGGAAACATAGCTAGACATGAGATTAGTAACTAAGAGTGAAGTGGTGATGCTTTATAATGAGTCAGACAAATAAATCTAGTATGTAGTTTAAAAAGAACATAAGATTGGTCAGGCTGAGTAAACTGACAGTATGCTTATAACAGTATGCTAGGCGTAGGTGTCTAGAGGGTAGTTCCACTGCAGCTCCATTGGGCATTAGTTTCTATCTATGTATCCTGATCTGTAGAATATAGCTTAATGAATCAAACAGGACTAGTGCCTATGTAGGTAGAAGAGAAAAGCTTAGATCTGAGATAGCCTTCCAATCAGGACATAGTATGGTGCTGCATAAAATTAAACTAAGCTTATAGTAAACATGTGAAACAAAACTAATACAATTAATAAGGATTGTTAACTGATATCATATAACTAGACATGGTGATAGCGTATAATGATCAGGCTATATTAACAGATGGTTTGAGCATAGTTTTAACCACTGATGAACAGAGAACATAGTTACTACCCTGCTACGGTTTATCACTGGTGGGTGGATTGCCCGGACATTTAAGGTAGGGCACACGGTATGGGGCATTATGGGGGCGAAGTAGCTTTGTGTACCACATGCATCCAGGCTTTGTTTTTCGCAGGTTTACCCAACCCCAACGCTTGCCACAAGTGTCCCATATCTGGACTGAGTCCCAGAGGTCCGTGCTCGGCCCCTCCGCTGGCCCCAGGCCACTTGAAGAGCCTGTGTGGAGTTCCCACTGCCCTGGTCACTCTGGGTATCGGGAGCAGGATCTCGGAAGGCTGTGGTTACAGGATTGCAGCGCTGAATCATACTGCAAGGGTGTGGGATAGGCACTGGGATTATCTCCCTCGAGGGCTTCAGCCTGGGATTGCAGGAAAGGGTCTTGGACCGTGCGGGACTCAGAAGTGTGGAAAGAGGTCGGGACCCTTTCCCCCATTTCTTTCCATGTCTAATGACCATAACGTTGCACTTGGCTTTGGGAAGTAAGTGTTGTGGCAGGCTAACTTCTCTTCTCTTCGCCTCTCCTCAAGCTTGTGCGAAAAGGTCATGAAGATGGCACCGGGATAAAGCCCACCGGCGGGGGGGTGGGAGTGGGAGTGTACTGACGTGCACATGTTCCAGCAGGTAAGCCAGCCGAGAAATCGGCCATGTCTCCTACACTTGCTCCCACAGGTAGGCTGCAATAGTGTTTGAAGCTCAGGTCGCTCGTCAGGAAGCCAAGAAGAGTCAGGGTGTAACAGGATTGTATGCTAATCATCTCTCGCTTAGATAAAGTGGAGGTTGTTGAGGTAAATTCAAGATTAAAGCAACCAGACAGTTCGGCAGCCAGGCCCCAACCCCCTACATTTGTCTTGTTCACAGCTCAGAAATACATATAAACTATTGGGATAAGTAAACATAATATAAAATCCCGGTAAGGGACATTTCCCCTTTAAGTAATGTAAATTCAAAGCACAGAGATTCATCTTACAAAGTATATGGCTATGCTGCTGGGAATTCTGGCCAATGACATAAACAGTATGTAGTTACATCACCTTTTGCCTTCAGTTGTTCTACATGTCCATAAAAAACACAAATAGTCATCAAATGACTAGCCCTGGCCTCAGGCATGTGCTTCCTCTGCCCAGCTATTTTCAGGTTTAGCACATAAAGGAATAGTGACCTCAGGTCATAAGCTATCTGACCAGGTTTCCAGGGCCAGTATGGAATACAAACTTAAAAACAAAGATTTTCAAATGAACATCACTCTCAGGCCTCACTTCACAATCAACTCAGTGAAGACTGCATTTACCATCCTGCAGAAACACCCATCACTCTCAGGTACTGACTGAAGCTTGGAAGATACTCCACCTCCCGTATTACTGGATTGCTACAAAATTCTCATGTGTTACTATAGAGTTGTTACAATTGATACCTCTAGTTTGCCACTGTAATGTTATGTGCATGCAGTGTGTACCACTGTCATTTAATGTTTGTGACCAATATTTCATGTAGACAGTTATTAATATTTTGGGTGATAGAATTTGATTGCTAAACTTTTCAATAGTCTATAACACATGCCTACTCTGCCCCCCCTCCCTCCCCCTCTCACACTCTCCTTCTCCCCTCCCCTCCCCTGTCATAAATACCTTCATTAATTGTTCTATCTCCATTCCTCAGGCCTCACTTCACAATCAACTCAGTGAAGACTGCATTTTTTCTCCCCACTTCCAACCCGCCCACCCAGGCTCCCCTTAAATATATAGCATGCTCCTCCAGCTATTCGAGATTCTCACCCAATTACCTGTTCATTGCCCTAACATCTTACCAATAGCTGCTTCTCTGTTAACTCTTTCAGCCATCACCTCCAAACTTCCCCTGCTACCTTTTGTCTCAAATCCCCCTGGTATCCTTTAGATTGTAAGCTCAAGGGCCATCTAGCTAAGCACTTTGCATAAAAGAGCTCCAATGGCTAGATATCAGCTTACGGGCAGGGCTCTCTTACCTCTTGTATTTGTTTGTGTATATTGTATGTTTCTCAACTAATTGTACAGCGCTGCGGAATCTGTGTGCGCTTTATAAATTGCAATAATAAATAATAAATAAATAACATACAAAACGACTCAGAGTTGTTCACAAATGTATGTTAGAATTTCTAAATTGTTTATAACAAAATTTTAAATTAATTCAAAATAATCTAAATGATAACCTATCTGACATGGAAAAAAAAAATTAATTTTAATTTGGCTTAAAACTTGAAAATTTGTTTAAAATTCTCACTTTAGTGAAAATCCAATCTTAACCTGGTTAACCTGGTAACACTTAACTCTGAGCTGCAGAAGCGTTTGGAGGATTTTTAGCATTTGGAGTATAAAAACAGTTATAAAAAACATGCTTGGTTACAAAATGGTAATTGAAGAAAATATATTCCAATACACCACGTGTGTACAGAAACATGAAATCAATTAATTCCCATTATTTCCTACTCTAGACGAGCACACATAAGGTGTTTCATATATCAGGTGACAGCCATAATTGTTAGAAATATTAAACACGAAACAAACAAATAAAAAAAAAAAAATTGAGGTGGGGCTGCTGACCACGGACCTGTGCGCACGCATTTGAGCTAAGCTATGTCCTGCAACCTCTCTCCTACCTGACTCACTGTGGGGCCCTCACCTCAACCCAAATGGCACCAAGGAAAGTATACAAACCCTCTCAAACTTACAGACAATCACACTGAACCACCAAGACAACCTGCGCTTAATCTACTAATCCAAATTGGCAGCCGAGATTCCATGCTATCTCCACTTTCTGATACGGCATCTAAATCAGTACTCGTTAATGAGTTATCTGAACACTTCCCAACCGTCAAAAAAACACTTAACCCATAGCTTGCAACTGAATAATTGGCAAATAGCAGGAATTAAGAACCTCCATGAACTGTATTCTGAATCAGACCTCTTACTATTCCCTTAATTGACATGCCTACACAACCTTCCCGCTAACAAAATATTCCCATTCCTGCATATTCAACATCTATTGAAATCTCAAAAAATCCAGCCTCCACACTTACAGGACTTAATGATTTTCAATAAATAATTTTAAACCACAAATCACACTCCAAACCGCTTGCTGCTAGCTACCGCCAACTCCTCACAATGAGATCAGCGGGGAAGCTACGCTATATGATTAGGTGGGAAAAAAACCTACATCAGATATTCTCATTAGCAACCTGGCAAAACGCGATGTTACAGATGTACAAAACTTCAAAATGCACGAATCACTTTGAAAAGAGCAACAAATTTGGTACATGGTACCCTCCAAACTGACATGTATACCCTCAAACATCTGATACATTTTGGAGAGGTCATAAATCTAGGGTAACATCCAGAAAATTCTACACATTTTCAGGACATGTCCATCCATCTAATCCTAATTAAAAAAAAAAAAAAAAACACATTAATCTCCCGGCATCTCCTGAAATGGTCCTCCTAGATATGCTACCTATAGAAGCAAAGGGGCCTCAGAAGCTATTAGCGTTTCATATCCTTACGGCAGCAAAAAAAACAACAGCACAAAAGTGAAAAGGCAAACTCACTATTACTCAACGAGATCAAGACTCGCCTCAATTTAGAAACACTATAGAAAAATGTTACATTGCATTCAAGAAAGTTTAGTGAAATTTTAAAGAATATTGTCCAATAGACAATGAATCACTCAACCAAGTTGTAGCAGCCCGGCTCCCCCCTCGCCCTTACTCTCCCACCAGTTACCTTTCCCATGCATACCCCCACCCTCACTCACCACACCTCATTGTTTTACTGTTTAGGTGCTAAAATGTTGTCTAAACCACTGTTTTCAATGTTAAACATATACAGAAAACAAAAAAGTGATGTATAAATATACTCTACCATGTGGATATCTTCATTAAATCAGACATTACTGTTTTGACTTGTCAATGCATCTTTTGTAATCTGGCATTTCGTCAATTGAATAAAAACAATAAACATGGTAAAAAAGAAAAAATGTAAATTTCAAAGAGAGGACAATAAGGAGTATTAAAGGTATACTCCAGACCCCAATAGAACTTTAATGCATTTGATATATATATTGTTTTTACCTCACTCATTAAATGTTTTGTAATATACACAAGAGGTGTTTTATCATCAAACACATTTTATGATAAAACATCTCTTTTTTGTTCAGCTTATACATTTGTGTGGATTTCAGTTTAGTATTTTCCCCCAAAACGTGACTTTTCTGCATCAACTGTAAAATGATTTTGAATGAACCCTATAGGTTGTGCAGGACTTACAAGGACAACAGCGTCTACCCCAGCTTGCACCAAGAGATCCAGCCGGTATTTATCATCTTCGTGTGTACCAATGGCCGCACCACACAGCAGTTGTTTCTTTGAATCTTTGGCGGCGAGTGGGTAATCTCTGTTTTTCTTCAGGTCAGTACGAGCAATAATGGAGACCAGTTCATCATCCTCATTAACAATAGGTAGCTTGCCTAAAACAAGGGAAGATCATTTACGATCACCAAAATGCTCCACGTGCAAAGCCATTTAACCCCAAAATACTAAGAAATGGGCACGATTGAAAGTATATGCTTTTACTCGGCATATAAATGTAGCTCCTGCACGTCCTGTTTGTGACTATTTTGAGATTTCAGTGTGTCTATTTGCGGGCGTATATGAGCCACGTTTATGAACATAACTCTGAAATACCAAGCAAAAAGCGGAGGGGAGAAAGAGAGAAATATTACACATACAAACCTTTTTTACTCCTTTGCAAGATTTCATTGGCTTCTTTTAAGGTAACTCCAGCGGGAGCAACAACAAGATCTTCCCGTTTTGTCATAATCTGAAAACACACAAGAAAGAAAAATTATTATTTTTTTGCAAATATAAGCACTGTGGTTAATGTGCTAGAGAATTAATTAAAAAACAAACTGAAAAATTTAGGGTAAAATAGCAAATCCGTAATTATACAGAGCTGTGCAACTCTTCGAGAATGCACTTGAATGTATATATTTAAATATATACAAAAAGCCTTTTTGTTGCCAACATCACAAAACTTAATGGTAATTCCTCCTTAGGAGAGGATAGCCATTAATCAGCACATACTATGCATTTTGCAAACTCAGTCATTGGCTGGGACTCACCTCACTAAGAGCCGAATCGTGCTCCTCCGCCTTCAGAAAATCTATGTCTCTGGATGAGATTATTCCTACCAGTTTGCTGCCCATCTTCCCATTGTCTGTGATTGGTATTCCACAGAAGCCATGCCGGGCTTTTGCCTCAAATACATCTCGCACTCTGTGTTTGGGACTCAACACAACAGGATCTGTGATGAAACCCTGCTCATATTTCTACAAGGAAAAGAGAGAAACCAACATAAAACAGTTAAAATAAATAATGTCCACCAATGTCAGACCATATATTCCAAATGTTAGGCGACATATGTGCCACAACACAGAGTCATATAGCAGGCTAAACCACGATCATCTGCTACTCCAAGTCTAACAGGAGATTATGGGAAGTTAACCCCTTGAGGACTGAGCCAAATGTACAAGTTTTGATCAAACTAAAATGTAAACAAAACTTGGAATTTGACTATATGTCTGTTCAACCGTAATTCACCTCTTTCATATTAAGTGCACCCACACTTATTATACATAAGTTTATTCAGGAGAAACAGGGCTTTCATTTAACATCAAATATTTAGCTATGAAAAAATTTAATATAAATAAAAAAATGTAAAAATTGAGAAATTAAGATTTTTTTTTTTTTTGTTCTGTATGTAATTTTAACTATGAATGTCATAACACTATTTGCTTTTACTGCAATAAAATACACATATTTGTATTCAGCGATGTCTCACGTGTAAAACAGTACCCCCTATGTACAGGTTTTATGGTGTTTTGGGAAGTTACAGAGTCAAATATAGCATGTTACATATTTCAGTTTTTTCACATTGAAATTATCCAGATTGGTTACCTTGCCTTTTAGACCATATGGTAGACCAGGAATGAGAATTACCCTCATGATAGCATACCATTTGCAATAGTAGACAACCCAAGGTATTGCAAATGGGGTATATGTCCAGCCTTTTTTAGTAGCCACTTAGTCACAAACATTGGCCAAAGTTAGCGGTAATATTTGTTTGTGTGTGAAAAATGCAAAAAACTAATTTGAACGCCAATTTTGGCCAGTGTTTGTGACTAAAGTGCTACTAAAAAGACTGGACATACCCCATTTGCAATACCTTGGGTTGTCTACTATTGCAAATGGTATGCCATCATGGGGGTAATTCTCATTTCTGGGCTACCATACGCTCTCAAAGGCAACGTAACCAATCGGGATAATTTCAATGTGAAAAAACTGAAACACAAGCCTTATATTTGACTCTGTAACTTTTGAAAACACCATAAAACCTGTACATGAGGGGTACTGTTATACTCGAGAGACTTCGCTGAACACAAATATTAGTTTTTCAAAATAGTAAAACATATCAACAATTATATTGACAGTGTGCCGTTTGTGTATGAAGAATGCAAAAAAATGCATTTTGACTGATGATATTGTTGTAATACATTTTACTGTTTTGAAACAATAATAATTATGTTCAGCAAAGTCTCCCGAGTAAAACAGTACCCCCCATGTACAGGTTTTATGGTGTCTTGGAAAGTTATAGGGTTAAATACAGTGCTAAAAAATTTAATTCTCTCTACTTTCAGTCTAGATTATCAGGCAGGTCCCTAGCATTGTAATTAATAAAATGACTTAATTATGTAAAATTTTACATAAATATATATGTAGAATTAAAATAAATATATATATATATATAATTTTTTAAAATTATTTTTATATAGATATATATATATATATATATATATATATATATAGTTATATATACATATATTTATGTATATAGATATATTATTTCGTTCTAAGTGTATTTTGATATCAATATATATATATTATCAAAATACAGTTAGAATGAAATTACACATATTTTTTTAAACCATGTTTTTATTTTTAACGTATTTATATATTTATATTATATATATATACACATTTAATTAATATCATTCTACATGTATTTTGATAATTTTTTATATATATAATTATATATATATTAATATTGAAATACACTTAGTATATGTATAATTGTATATATATATATATATTTATATGATCTAAGTGTATAGTATTTCACTTTAGACCGTTTTTAACTTTTATTTAACTTTATTACAGGCACTGTCATTCCTGCCTGCAAGGACCTTGCGTCCACATGGCCCAGGAGAGCCGGATCAGACATAGGTGGATCGCCAGCGACCAGGTAAGTGGGAAGGACAGCATGGATGTATTATGCCGCCCACCGGCATTTAGAGCCGAGTCCCCAAGGACAGCATGGTACACCCACCCCAATTGGAATGCAAAGTTTTACACCCCTTCTCAAAATATCATACATCAATGGCTAATCTTTGAGAGCTACATTTCACATAATGCTTAGGTTCCATAAGCAGCATGGGAAATGTAATTCAAAAAACTGAGCAGAATAGGACTAGCCATAAGGTAACTTTAGGCAGCCGTCTAGGGACCAAAGATTAGACATTGGCCCCCGAATCATGAATTTGATTGGCCCTTTTAGCCATCCCCATGTAAATGAATGAAAAGGGGGAGGGGAGCAAAAGTGGTAACCTGCCTTAATCCTTCTCTGAAGCTAAGGTACCAACATTAGACATTGCCATCATTAAAAGTAGTCTAAGGAGACGGTAGTGGTTATTACAGTGTCTACACACCATACTTACTTTTACTTTGCGAACTTCGTTTGCTTGGAACTCTGGTGTGCAGTTATGGTGTACAATTCCAATGCCTCCTGTTAGCTAGACAGAAAGTAAAACCAAGATGATCATGTAAGCAGCCACTGCTAGTTCCTGATCAAAACCTAAAATTAAAAAGGAAACCTAATACCGAAACAAAATTGGCTTTAGCATTAACATAAGGTGTCGGAATATTTATAAATCTACACAAAAGCCTTAACAAAAAAACAAAAACAAAATAAGCATAAAAATATATTTTATTAAACTAAGCATGCAATATTTGGCCTTGATTTGCTTTAATTTAGTAAACCAGGGGAAGATATTATTTTGCACGCTCATCACTTTTAGTAGCTTTAGTAGTTCAAACAGCTTCCTGCTCAAGATCAAAGTAAAACAAACTCCAAACTAAAACACCATATAGCTAACAAAACGTATATCATTGCAGAGTTGTACATACAGTAAATAAGAAACTAAAAAAACAAGACAATCTACCAAATATGCCAGTGACAGTCTTGTTGCTCAGACACAATCTTGATTTAGGAACTTACCGCCATAGCGATGGCCATATTAGCTTCCGTTACTGTATCCATCGGTGAGGAAACCATGGGTGTCTTCAAGGTTATTTTCTTGGTGAGAGCCGAGGTGAGGTCCTTAAAATGATAAAAACCAGAACACAGTCATCCACAATGTAATTTTAAATTACCATATTAAAATATAAAAAGGAAAAGACAAGACAGGGCATCTTAACAGAAAACTTTAGGATCTGTTTACTGCATGTGGTTTTATAACTACTGTTTGGTTAAATGGTCCTGATACATACCACTTGATCTGCTGTGAAGTCAATGTACCCAGGGAGAATGAGAAAGTCACTGGGGGGGAAAAAAAATCAAAATTAAACATTAGCAGTTTGTAATGGGGAAATCACAAAATTAAAACTAAACAAAAATATTAAAAAAGCTGATTTCTCAGGAGCCCTTAAATAAATGAATGGTCTTAGAAATTCACTCTGACAATATAATTGGGTGCCACCACAGCTTATCTGCTCGTGGGTGCTCCATGTCCTTGAAGATTAAGTTGTACATCAAGCCCCAGTGGCCTAATGGAAAAGGCACTGGGCTCCTAAGCCAGGGATTGTGGATTCAAGTCCCATCTGGGGTGTGAGTTTGGTAATTAAACCTGAGCAGGGGTTGAAGGAGTTTAAGAATGCATGGAATAGGCATAAGGCTATCTTAGCTATGAGATAAGGCCAGGGACTAATGAAAGTATTTAGAAAATTGGGCAGACTAGATGGGCCAAATGTTTCTCATCTGCCATCACATTCTATGTTTCTAATAACAGGATTTAAAATGTCTATATTTTGCAAAGACCCCCAAATGTGACAGCTCTTGTTAAGGTCCAGTGGCTGTGCAATTAAAGATAGGTAGTCACTGCCATTTTTTATGGTCAGCTCCTAGCACATCATCTGCCAGGAGCTGCAAAGGAGCATCACGGACGTGTATAAAGGATCCTGTAAGATTCCCATAGATCCCATCTCACAGAGTGGACACGAACGATTCAGTAGACTAACTAGAATCAGACGGTAAGGATTTGCCTAGCCAAGACTGATGGGAGTAGCAGGTGTACCCTTATCATGCCCTAAAAGGTTTATTTATTAAAGTTGAAATGCTTTGGAGCTGACCAGTGAATTTTAGGTTACATTTCCTGAGCTAGCAAAGATAAATTGAGTTATAGAGTTTTTCATGTGACTATATTGACCTAAAATTTGGTTCCTGGTTAATTCCCATAAGTGTCTGATTTAAAAAATAACCCTATAAATATTGACAAGGATGTTCGGAATACCCTAATCAGAGGATACAGCACTGTCATATATAAAAAAATATTAAAATGTAAAGATGCCACATTCTTTTGAGTGAAGAGCCATTACAATTATGCAACGCATTTCACAATGCTGGGAAATACAAATTGGTCTGGAAAAAAATGATATCGTTTGTGTCTTTTCAGAAGGTTGCTGTGACATCAGACATTACTGAATGAAAGAAGGGGGCACCACGTGCAATAAGTTAAAAAAAATAAAAATGCATAATGGACACTTTTATGGACAGATTATAAAGCTACTCTTATCTCTGTGTTGGTTCCCTTTTTGAGGTTTATTGAGGATATACGTTATTGTGCAGCAATAAATAAATGCATACGTAAAATGAAAAACTTAATGTAGACTGCTGGTGGAAAGATCAGAAATGAAGTCATTACTTAAATGTTTACTGAAAAACATAATTTTATATCCTGATCATAAACAGTATATTCGGAAGTGGTCCAGTGCAGACTGTCACCGTTAATGGGGCTCAGACAGTGCTTTATTGAATTAAGTGGAATGGGTCAGAATGACAGAGGCTAAGTATCTGACATCAAAGCTTTTTCACTCTACTTCCTGAAATAGGATCTGTTTCTAAATGTGATGCATCATGCTTTGCACAGTCACAATAAGTACCTTCCAAGTTCCACTAGTATGTACAGCAAGGGCTACAAATTTAACAACACTCTGTTTTGGAAAATGGGTAACCATGCATTATTGCTCTGTCACATGTGAATACTTACTGGGTTATTCTCCAAACTGTAAAGACTTAGGAATTCTAAATGATTTGACAAAAAGAGCCAAACTGGAATAATTATCCAGATCAGTGTGTTTCCCCCCCCGCCACCCCCAAACTCTGGTAGTGTGATCTAAACACTTGTTTTTACAAAATGAAATAAAAGATGAATATTCATAAAGTAGTTTTTGTTTTTTTAATATAAAAACATCTGTAGTTCAAACTTATTATGCAGCCTTTAGGTTCTGGACCTACTTTAGAAAGAGCTGTAATTACATTAAACTTTTTGGCTGTTTTGTAGCTTTATCTAACTCAAAATATGTTGTATACAAACTCTTATCAGATTACACCTAGGGATCAAAGACACTATTTAAATAATGATAAGAAAGTAGAAAGACTAGTGGCCCTAGTCAATCAGTAACAGTCAACAAAGCTGTAATGAAGGATAAAGTAGTTCAATGCAACTATTTAATTTACTGTGGGTCCTTCTTTTATAAACTCTAGCAGTCATGATGAAGAGATCTTGGTTTACCTAAACTCTAAAATCCTGAAACCTGTCTGCCCTCCTTTTATTGAGGTTAAAAGCAACAAACGTAGATTTAAAATAGGAATGTGACAATGAAACCCAAAACCCAACTGCCAATCAAAGGTGGAGGGGTGTGGGGGGGGGGGGGGCAACTAAGAGAAAAGTTGAGTAAAATTTCGTAACTGCTAGACTGTTCCTGGTGACTATTCTATCGTGTGTTGTGGTGATTGCTTCATTGTTAGAATCTTGCCCCCCACGTTTTACTTATTAGCAGCATTTACTAAGTATTGGCACAGTGTGACGGTATAGGATGGTGCCTATGAAATCCGACCCAAATGCTCCACGACACAAAATATTTTTAATAAAAAAAATATATATATATACATAATGATAATAATGTAGCCTAATGAACTGTAAGCCCGCGTATTTTGTGGCTGTGTGACTGGTACATTGAAGGTCATTCCCTATGAACTAGGACAATCATGGTTGGATACTATCAGCTGGCATTGTTAGGCTCCATGGGCTGCCTGGGAGTAATGGCAGTAGTGCCCCAGTAGGAGTGGAGACCCCCAGCACTGGATAATACTATCTAGCAGTGGTGCTAGTGGATAACTACTGTAGAAGAAATCCCAGCTTGCTGAGACAGGTAGGTTTTGCAGAGCAGAGTGACTCTGCCCCCATGTCTGGACCTTGAGCAGATCCCTTTAAGGAGCCAGCATGCCCCCATCCCTCCCCACTCACTTGTAGGTGAGCCCTTCTCCGGCTCCGAAGAGCTGCTGAGCTGAGAGCCCATCATCCGGCACATAGCAGGTCCCCCCGCTGATCAGGTAATCTGCCATCTCTACCTCCCCCCAGCACACACAAGGCGCCCTTGAAATCTGGTGACAGCAGGTGAGCAAGCAGGGCAAGTGTGGTTCCCCAGCCTCCTCTCCCTGCCTGATTACCAACTCCCCGGCAAGAGGCCAAACAGCATGGCACTCCCCCCATTTAAAGGGCTCACCGCCCACAGTGATGACATCACAGGAAGTCGCTTTGTCGGGACATGCGCCTGGGGACCTGCCGCGCACATGGCGGGTGGCCTCAAGCCAGTGCAGTGGGCTATGGACATAATGGCCTCAGGATTGTAATAGGGTGACAGACTGCAGTCCTGGAAATGAGGGCTTTTTAACAAGTGACAGCATTCAAATTGTGATTCCTGCCTGCCTGCCAATTAATTCATGAGAAAATTAATATACAATCCTCTAGTGAGGCTTCAAACAAATGCCACCTGTTTTATGAGCTGCTGGTGAGAATAAATATCCAAATAAATAAAAATGGTGTATTTTGGTATTCTATCGCTCATAGCAACAGCTACCATCTTTTTTTTTGTGCCATGGTACAATAACAGTTGGGATTTACTGCTATAGCAGATCTAAGAACTGCAACTCTCAGAATGCTCTGCCATTCATAAGGACGTTTCAGTTTGCTAGAGAATGAATTGTTTTACCTATGCAATGCTGAGTGAATAGTTCCCTAGACATACAGAGCATAATACAATATACACTGATCAAAAAAATAAAGGGAACACTTAACCCCTTAAGGACTGGACTGTTTTTGCGATGTTGTACATTTGCAACCAGGAATATTTTTACACTTTTCTGGTGTTTGTGTTTAGCTGTTATTTTCCGCTCTCTCATTTACTGTTCCCATACAAATTATATATTGTTTTTTTCAGGACAAAAAGGGGCTTTCTTTACATACCATTATTTATATAATCTCATGTATTTTAATTTAAAAAAAATATGATGAAAAATTGAAAAAAATACATGTTTTTTGACTTTTACTTGAAAAATCTTTTACTCAGCTACAAAAGCGAATGAAAAAAACAGCTAAATAGATTCAAAATTTTGTCCTGAGTTTAAAAATACCCAGTGTTTACATGCTTTTTTGCTTTTTTTTGCAAGTTATAGGGCTATAGGTACAAGTAGGATATGGCGGTTTCAAAACAAAATTTTTTTTAAATGTATCAATAGTGACATTGTAACACTATTATCTGTCATAAATCTCTGGAAAACACTCCACATGTATATATTTTTTTTAAAGTAGACAACCCAGGGTATTCATCTAAGGATATTTTGACACTTTCTATGCAGCCATTTTACCACAAGTCTTTGCCAAACTTTGCATAGATAGTTGTTTTTTTGTTTTTTTTCACATACATTGCAATTCAGGTATAAACTTACAGATCCTGTTATGTCTTGCTGCCAAATAACACGCCAATATGTGTTCAGCAACATCTCCTGAGTACAGTGATACCACCCATGCATAGGCTTGTCGGATTGTTTGGGGGCTAAAAGGCCACATTTGGCAGGTGCGCATATCCATTTTTCAACTTGGAATTTTGACATGTAGTCAACCTGCGCACATGTCCTATTTGGGACATTTGTAAGGCCGGCCAATGTATTTTACCCCCACCAAACCATATATTTTTTGAAAGTAGACACCCTAGGGTATTTCAAATGGTGGTTTTTTAACACTTTCCATGCACTAATTCTACCACCAGACATTGTCAAACATTTAGGTAGTCATTTTTTGTGTGTTTTTTTACACACATTGTACTTTAGGCATGAATTAACAAATCGTGTTATGTGTCACTGCCAAACAACACACCAATATGTGTTCAGCAACATCTCCTGAGTACAGTGATACCACCCATGCATAGGCTTGTCGGATTGTTTGGGGCTAAAAGGCCACATTTGGCAGGTGCGCATATCCATTTTTCAACTTGGAATTTTGACATGTAGTAAACCAGCGCCCCTGTCCTATTTGGGACATTTGTAAGGCCGGCCAATGTATTTTACCCCCACCAAACCATATATTTTTGGAAAGTAGACACCCTAGGGTATTTCAAATGGTTGTTTTTTAACACTTTCCATGCACTAATTCTACCACCAGACATTGTCAAACATTTAGGTAGTAATTTTTTGTGTGTTTTTTTTTCACACACATTGTACTTTAGGCATGAATTAACAAATCGTGTTATGTGTCACTGCCAAACAACACGCCAATATGTGTTCAGCAACATCTCCTGAGTACAGTGATACCACCCATGCATAGGCTTGTCGGATTGTTTGGGGGCTAAAAGGCCACATTTGGCAGGTGCGCATATCCATTTTTCAACTTGGAATTTTGACATGTAGTCAACCTGCTCACATGTCCTATTTGGGACATTTGTAAGGCCGGCCAATGTATTTTACCCCCACCAAACCATATATTTTTGGAAAGTAGACACCCTAGGGTATTTCAAATGGTGGTTTTTTAACACTTTCCATGCACTAATTCTACCACCAGACTTTGTCAAACATTTAGGTAGTCATTTTTTGTGTGTTTTTTTTCACACACATTGTACTTTGGGCATGAATTAACAAATCGTGTTATGTGTCACTGCCAAACAACACACCAATATGTGTTCAGCAACATCTCCTGAGTACAGTGATACCACCCATGCATAGGCTTGTCGGATTGTTTGGGGGCTAAAAGGCCACATTTGGCAGGTGCGCATATCCATTTTTCAACTTGGAATTTTGACATGTAGTCAACCTGCGCACATGTCCTATTTGGGACATTTGTAAGGCCGGCCAATGTATTTTACCCCCACCAAACCATATATTTTTGGAAAGTAGACACCCTAGGGTATTTCAAATGGTGGTTTTTTAACACTTTCCATGCACTAATTCTACCACCAGACATTGTCAAACATTTAGGTAGTCATTTTTTGTGTGTTTTTTTTCACACACATTGTAATTTAGGCATGAATTAACAAATCGTGTTATGTGTCACTGCCAAACAACACGCCAATATGTGTTCAGCAACATCTCCTGAGTACAGTGATACCACCCATGCATAGGCTTGTCGGATTGTTTGGGGGCTAAAAGGCCACATTTGGCAGGTGCGCATATCCATTTTTCAACTTGGAATTTTGACATGTAGTCAACCTGCGCACATGTCCTATTTGGGACATTTGTAAGGCCGGCCAATGTATTTTACCCCCACCAAACCATATATTTTTGGAAAGTAGACACCCTAGGGTATTTCAAATGGTGGTTTTTTAACACTTTCCATGCACTAATTCTACCACCAGACATTGTCAAACATTTAGGTAGTCATTTTTTGTGTGTTTTTTTTCACACACATTGTACTTTAGGCATGAATTAACAAATCGTGTTATGTGTCACTGCCAAACAACACACCAATATGTGTTCAGCAACATCTCCTGAGTACAGTGATACCACCCATGCATAGGCTTGTCGGATTGTTTGGGGGCTAAAAGGCCACATTTGGCAGGTGCGCATATCCATTTTTCAACTTGGAATTTTGACATGTAGTCAACCTGCGCACATGTCCTATTTGGGACATTTGTAAGGCCGGCCAATGTATTTTACCCCCACCAAACCATATATTTTTGGAAAGTAGACACCCTAGGGTATTTCAAATGGTGGTTTTTTAACACTTTCCATGCACTAATTCTACCACCAGACATTGTCAAACATTTAGGTAGTCATTTTTTGTGTGTTTTTTTTCACACACATTGTACTTTAGGCATGAATTAACAAATCGTGTTATGTGTCACTGCCAAACAACACGCCAATATGTGTTCAGCAACATCTCCTGAGTACAGTGATACCACCCATGCATAGGCTTGTCGGATTGTTTGGGGGCTAAAAGGCCACATTTGGCAGGTGCGCATATCCATTTTTCAACTTGGAATTTTGACATGTAGTCAACCTGCGCACATGTCCTATTTGGGACATTTGTAAGGCCGGCCAATGTATTTTACCCCCACCAAACCATATATTTTTGGAAAGTAGACACCCTAGGGTATTTCAAATGGTGTTTTTTTAACACTTTCCATGCACTAATTCTACCACCAGACTTTGTCAAACATTTAGGTAGTCATTTTTTGTGTGTTTTTTTTCACACACATTGTACTTTAGGCATGAATTAACAAATCGTGTTATGTGTCACTGCCAAACAACACGCCAATATGTGTTCAGCAACATCTCCTGAGTACAGTGATACCACCCATGCATAGGCTTGTCGGATTGTTTGGGGGCTAAAAGGCCACATTTGGCAGGTGCGCATATCCATTTTTCAACTTGGAATTTTGACATGTAGTCAACCTGCGCACATGTCCTATTTGGGACATTTGTAAGGCCGGCCAATGTATTTTACCCCCACCAAACCATATATTTTTGGAAAGTAGACACCCTAGGGTATTTCAAATGGTGGTTTTTTAACACTTTCCATGCACTAATTCTACCACCAGACATTGTCAAACATTTAGGTAGTCATTTTTTGTGTGTTTTTTTTCACACACATTGTACTTTAGGCATGAATTAACAAATCGTGTTATGTGTCACTGCCAAACAACACGCCAATATGTGTTCAGCAACATCTCCTGAGTACAGTGATACCACCCATGCATAGGCTTGTCGGATTGTTTGGGGGCTAAAAGGCCACATTTGGCAGGTGTGCATATCCATTTTTCAACTTGGAATTTTGACATGTAGTCAACCAGCGCCCCTGTCCTATTTGGGCCAATGTATTTTACCCCCATCAAACCATATATTTTTGAAAAGTAGACAACTCAGGGTATTTTAAATGGTGGTAGTTTAATACTTTTCATGCAATAATTCTACCACCAGCCTTTGGCAAACTTTTGGGTAGTAATTTTCTTCATGTTTTTTTACACATACATTGTACTTTAGGCATGAATTAACAGATCCTGTTATGTATCACTGCCAAACAACACCCCAATATGTGTTCAGCAACATCTCCTGAGTACAGTGACATCACCCATGCATAGGTTTGCTGGGTTGTTTGGGGGCTAAAAGGCCACATTCAAGACTTGTACATATCAGTTTTTCAACTTGATATATAGGTATGCTTGGCCTATCTTCAGTTTGGCATATTTTTGCATCCCCCCGTTAATGTTAACATCATGAAAGTTTATATTTTTATAAAGTAGACATTC